AATCACTGGCACATCATGACAAACCACAGTGATTTCTTACCGTTATGGTCTGTCAGGTTCCGTGGAAGCAACTGTGGCATTCCTACATGGTACATTTAGCCTGCTCTACTGAGTGTTCTCCAGTCATCCAGACGTGAGATATCCATTTTACCATTGTTATGGAAAGTCACAGAATCCTGTGGAAGCAGCAGCCTTCAGCAGTGGCCACTCAGCAATCCATTCTTTACTACCCTCCGTTCCCTAGCAACACAAGCATCATCATCTACTTTATTTCTACTGGATAAGCAATGTACCCTTCTTCCTATTTACTTCTGGAAATGGGGAGAAAGCAAGTAAATGCATGGAGGAAGGGGGAAATTGTGGTAAAAGCATTTATGATGATTTACTAAAAATTCCTGTGGAAGCTGGAGTACCTAGGAAGTGTTACAGAGATGCAGGGGCACACAGGAGAAGGAAGAGGGAAAGCCTGCCTCAAACTCTCAGTGGGCAAATCAGGATGAAGGTTGAGGTCTTCTGCAGGGGCTCCTGGGATACATGGCTGGAGTGCAGCAAAAAGAAACCATGTTGCTATGAGAACCATGTGATCATCTAACCAGTAAGTTCAGGCAAAAAAATCTATGTGCCATGGAAATGAACAAAGATGTTTGCTGTGAGGTCTGAACCCAGTCATTATCTTTCAGTCTGGTCAACCTTACAGGGTTTTTTGCAAGGATAACAAGAAATAGACTGACATGGACTTGTTCAATGAAGTGCAGGATACAAATATAGCTAGATCTAAAAATAAAAATTTACATCTCTTTTAGCTGATTCAGCTTCCAAGAAGATTAAGTCTCTATTCATCAAACAACATTAAACATTGTATAATTCCAGGTATTCAAAACACTTCACGAGCAGCATCTAGTTGTAATCTTTACAATAATCATGTAAAGCCAGAATTATTATTACTGTTGTAAACTACCCAGAGAACTCTGGCTGTTGGGCGGTATAGAAAAGATATAAATCATCATTATCCTTGTACTGCAGGGAAGTCTAAGACTGAGAATGCATGGCTCCCTCAAAGCCATCAATTGAGCTCAAAGCAGAGATACAATTCAAACTAGGGACTTCCTGGCTTGTACCTTGGCATTACCAAGTATTCCTGTTCAGAGATGCATGTCTTCTCCAGCAGTTCATTTCATCTCCCTGGCCAAAACTTCATTTCTGCTTTTCATCTGACACTCAAAATATGTGACTAATCAGCATATTGAACCCTCCATGGATGGACTCATTTTCACACCTTAGGCTTTTTTTCCATATCCAATATCTCACTCCTGTTTCTCAATGGGCCCATTGTAGCTCTATTTCTGATAGCATTCGACACCTGAGTTTGCTGTTAGAGGAAGTAATATGCAACTGGACCTGACCCCCCAGTAGGTAAGTACGTACACTGGGGGGTTTCATTGTTCAGTGGCAGCCGGGTGATATAGCCCAAATATAGGAACAGATGAACATGAGCTGGATGCCAACATTCATGATAAGCAATCCTGCTGCAATTCATTCAAGGACAAGACACTGCCTCTGGATTAATAAAACATGATGTTAAGTGTACATTTTGAAAGGTTCATCTCAAAGAACATAGACAGGCACTCCATTGTTCCTACCAAGTACATCTCTCACTTGGGAAAGCTGGCAAGCTCATGATCACACTTGTCTGCTCTCGAATGTCAGTACTACATGTGAGTTCTGATCTAGATGTAATGTCACTCAGCGGTAAACTTTACTAACTTTGCATTAGGATAACATATGGCAGGCATGAAGATTAGTTAACCCAACAGTTAGAACAACATTAGATGCCTAGTGTTGCCAGCTTTCTTTTTTTAAAAAAGCTGGAGCTTATCTGTGACATTGGCATCTCATTAATATAGCACCTTCTGTTCCAAGAGAAAAAAATACGAAATCTTCCATCCCTTCATAGTTCTATTACAATCACTTAGATTTGTCCAGACAGGGTTTGAACTGCCCATATTCTACACATCACCTAGCAGGATTACCTAGAGCAACCTAGATTCCCAAAGCTAAGGAACAAGCTAGTTTACATAATCAAAAAGACTGAAATGAAAGAAGGGTCTATGCTCAGGAGATCTCCATTAATACTATGGAAACCTAGCACTGATATTTTTCATATCCTCAGTTTAAAAAAACTCACATAGCTTTAAAGGCAAACTGGGACTATTTTCTCTAACCTAGTTTTCTAAGTGTTTTTATGACAACATTAGGTACAAAACTTTCATTTTAAAATATTAAAAAATGTTCTAAATAATTGTAAATAAGACATTACAATTCAATAAGGACAGACAGGAAGTAGGTTATGTTTCAACTGAGATTTTGTCCCATTAAACAGCAATGGTTGAGACATGTTGCACCCATCTCTATATTGGAGACAATGTTTGCAATAAAAGATTGATGAAGGCTGAATAGCTACCTAAGACGGCTTTAGTTGATTTGTTAGAAGTAACAAAATGAAATCTAGTAAAACATTCTGTCAGTATCATTTACCTGAATAATGCTTATTTTCCAGTACCATAAAGCCTTGGTTACTCACAGGCAGGTACACTATAGTTGTTACTATGAAAAGCTGAGTACAACATGGAGGAAAAAAATAGCCAGAAAATGGATGCACTAAGAAGAAAAGTGTACATGGATTTAGAATAGGTGACGTTGTAGTATGAGAGACTAATACCATTTGTGGCAATAAAAATATACCTGCTCCCATATTGCTTTGTCCCAATTTGTCTCCCTCATCATCCCTAAACTTGCCTACCTCAAAACAGTACATGTACTTGCTAGGTCTGCAGAACTGTCAGGCAGAAAGATCAAGGGATTAAAGTTGCCACACAGAGGTGCTCAGCCCAGAGTTGCCACACAGAGGTGCTCAGCCCTTGGCATATATTACTGCTGCACTGCATTATATTACTGCTGCACTGCTCTAACATTTTTTCCCCTGAGTTCCAGCCAGGACCCGACTTCCTCTAACTTAATCCCATTATTCTGTGGCTGGCACTCCGGGATGATTGAGAAGAGATTCTGGCTCTCCTCTGTGTTGCAGCCTTTCAAGTATTTGAAAAGTACTACCATATCTCTTCAGTCTTCTCTTCTCCAAGCTAAACATGTGCAGTTCTTTCCCCTCATAGGGTTTTGTTTCCAGTCCCCTGATAAACTTTGTTGCCCTCCTTGGAAACTTCCCCAGTTTGTCTGTGCCTCTACTCAAGTGTGGGGCCCAGAACTGGATGCAATACTCAGGGTGCAGCCTGATAAGTGCTAAATAGAATACCACACGTGATCTGGAAGCTATACATCTATTAATGCAACCTCAAATAGCATTTGCTTTTTTTGCAGCCACATCACATGGTTAGCTGGTATTGAAGTTGTGATTTACGACAATTCTAAGAGCTTCCTCGCTTGCAGTACTGTTGAGACAAGCATCTCCCATCCTGTAACTGTGAATTTGCTTTCAGCTCAGTGCTTCAGGCTATCAAGATCACTTTGAATTTTGTTTCTGTCTTCCAGCATATTAGTTAGGGCACCCAATTTTGTGTCATCTGCAAATCTGATAAGCATTTCCTGCACCTAGTACATCCAAGCCATTAACAGCAATGCTGAAGAGCACTAGTTTTAGGACTGAGCTCTGCAAAACCCTGCTCATTACCTCTCTCCAGGCTGAGAAGGTGCCTTTTACCAGAGCTGGCAGGTCTGCATACACCAGTTGCCGAGGAATTTGGACACATGCAGGTTTTGCATTCATCTTGCTTGAGCAATCCCATGGGCAGCTGAGATGCCACCATCTGCATGGAGTGCTGGATTAGATGGACCTTTGGGCTGATGCAGCATGGTTCTCCTTATGTTCCTGTGTTCATTGAGAAACACTCTTTGAATCCAATTCTTTAGCCAACTGTGGATCCACCTGTTACTTGGCTATAGAACCAGACTCCTAAAGTGCTATTCAATGGTACCGTCTAAGATTGGAGAGAGGCAGTAAGTGGATAGTTTTAACAATGAGTATATGCTCTTACAATGAACTGCAGCCCCTCCTTAAGTGGAAATGTATTCCTTACCAAAATATATTAGGTGTACATAGAGATGGTGACTTACCGAAATATATTAGGTGTACAACACGAGAGTGGCTACAAACAGTAGCCCCACAGGGAAAGAAACCTGCTTTCAGAACAACTGGGTTCCTGCCAGCACTCACTGCACCATTTTAAATAGTTCAACAAGCATAAGGATTACAGGATTTACCCTTAAAAATCAAATATAAATTATCATACATGTATGACAGAAAGAAGATTGTATGACTATTTTTTCCCAACCAGGAGGTGTGTGTGTGGGGGGGGGAGCTTAACATCCACCACGTTAAGAGAAAAATATGCTGTATTTGTTAACACTGTTCCATCCTTTTCCAATACTGTGAAGCAGCTCAGTATCAGATAGATTTCAAAAACAGTACAATGTGCAAACATAATATACAGATATATACACTATTTATAGATACTATTACATTGCATTTATAGCCTGTCTTTCTCCCTCTTGCAATGAACCCAAGGTAGCTTGTATGGTTTTCCTCCTGTCCACTTTTTATGCTCACAACAACAACCCTGTGAGGTATGATAGGCTAAGTGTCATTGGTTGCCAGTGAGTACTAGGATGGCTGAGTACTAGGATCCAATCCAACACTCTAGTCAGTGCAACATACCACATATTGCACTCCTACTAGGAGTCCTTTCAATATTTAACACCCCTACCATGTGTACACACACATATAAACTATCATAATTAAGCCATTTTCTATTTTAAGTGAAAAAATTAATGGCAAAAAAATCATTTTAGTATGGTTTAGGGCAATACAAATATGTGACCGCAGTACTCAAAACTTTAGAATGTTTAATAAAAAGATGTAATGTAATGTTTAATCTTTTATCTTTTTATAAGCCACATTTACTGAAGCTTCTGTTCTAAACTCTTACCTGGATAACTTTGTAGAAATACGCATACTGTCGAACAGTGTTTTTATATTGGCTGAAAACATCATGTATGGCCTGAGTTGACTGAAGATACTGAACTTCTTCTTCTTCAAAGTAAAGAGGGGTATTGTATTCACTTGGGAGAGTTTGGATGTAAGGCAGCCAGAAAGAACTAGGGTTGCATCGTTCACAAAGAAGGTGGAATGCTAGCGTGATGTTTCCCATCGCTTGGAGAATTCGGTCTTGAGAATACAAAGATCCTAAAGCAGTAAATCATTAGGAAAATCTTAGTCTCTACAAAGAAGAAATCCTAAGTGCTTATTAAATCATTATTTAAAAAAAGAAATATCAACAAAGTGTCTTTCTTCCAGTAATAGGCATAAAATGTTTATGTCCTCTTATACACATTTCTGTAACTTTTAAACAAAATCTAGACATCACTGTCCAAAATCTTTACAAAATGTGTTTCATGAATTTCACCACAGGTTGGCTACAATCCAGCATGCTGACTTCCCTCAGATTAATGTGACATTAATGAAAAAATTAGACTGATTGCTATCAATGGTATTAGCAGGAAGTAAGTACCTTCTACCAGCAGAGGTCAAGAAATGAAAAGATATGTAGGATACCAGCTTGTTCCCAATTTTCTATGATTCAATCATAGATTTAAATGCACTAATGCAGAGGTGGCCAAAGTTCAGGTTTGTAGGATCTAGTTTTCTTTTAAGTAGATCCCCAAGATACATCAACCAGAACTGGAAAACTTGTTCCACCAGTACTTACTATTCATGTTGTGCTGGAGGCCACATATACTAGTGCTACACTAGGGGCATAAGCAGAGGAGCAGCACTGGCTACTGCCTAGGAATTTTGTTTTCATTACCAGAACTAAGCTCTCAGACTTTTCTATCCCTGGTTTCTTCATTCCAGCACCACATTTTCCTTGGAACTACTGTTAAAAAATTAGAAGTCTGGGACTCCTACAGTTCAGTTCAGCCAGAAATCAACCAACAGATCCCAGTAAACCTTCTGACCACCTTTGCACTAGCCAATTCTATTTCGCAATTTACAGCATTGTACCACTGGGACATAATTCCATCAATATGAGATAGGCGTATTTCTAATACACTCAAAATATTATCTTACCCAAGACTGAATTTTTAGCAGACTCAACCGTCATCAGCAATTTTCTGGGAACCCAGAGAAAAAGTTCTTCAGCCTATAAAGGCAACAGAAAAATTCACAATTTTACTGGTAAACAGAAAGCATTTGTAATTCTACAGACAACAGTATGCACGTCATATATAAGGCCTTTGAAATGACACTAGGATGAGTGGCAATTGCTTTTAGTGAACTTCCCAATCAAGAAGTGTCTAAGCCATAAAAACAGCTAGCCAAGGACTGCTGTATGCCTATGCAAAACTCAGTCATGGCATGGCCATCTTTCTCTCTTTTGCCCTTGAGGACTAATGCCAACATTAGAAGATTATTACACATATTCAAACGATGACACCCAATTCCACCTAGCAGCTGCTCAATGATCACGTATTTTAAAATGCAACACAGCTCTTTAGTAGTTTGCAATTCTTTCTCAAGAAAATAAGGACAGTTATGCTGGATTAGCCCAAGATCCATCTAGACCCCCGCTGTGTCTACACATTGCCAACCAGATATGCATGAAAAACTCATAAGCAGTACATGAGTGGAATAGTACCCTCCTGCTCATGTTCCCCAGCAACAGGTATATATAACCTTACTGCCTCTGATGCTGAAGGAAGCACGTAACCATCAGGACTAATAGCCATTGACAGCCTTGTCCTTTATGAATTAGGCTAATTTCCCTTTAAAGTCATCCATATTTGTGCTCATCACTTTATCTTGTGGAATAGAATTCCACTGTTTAACCATGCACTGGGTAAAGAAGTATGTCTTGCAATCTGTCCCGAATCTATCACCAAGCAGCTTCATGGAATAACCTCAAGTCTAGTATTAACAGAGAGAAAGAAAGGAAAATGTCTCCTCATGTTCTTTCTCCACAGAATGCATAATTTTGTACACCTTCCTATTTCCCCTTACTCAGCATTTTTCTAAACTAAGCATTCCCATATGTTGCAACTTTAGTTGCTCCAGCTCCTTGAAGATTTGAATTGCCCTATTCTACATTTTTTTCCAACTCTACAACATTTTTACAGTGCATTACCAGAATCATACACAGTATCCCAAACACGGTTATAAAATAGATCTGTATGACCCTGGCAGTTTGATTTTTTTCTAATTATGCCTAACATAGAATTTGCCTTTTTCACAGGAACTGCGGACTGGATCAACATTTTCATTGAGCTGCATACTACAAACCAAAGCTCTTGTTCCTGGTCAGCTGACAGTAGCTCAGACCATCAGCATAGATGTGAAGCTGAGTGTTTTTCCACGAAGTATATCACTTAACCTTATTCCTGCTGAACCCCATTTATCATTTTGATGCCTTAGCTCCAAGTTTGGAGAGATCTCTTTGGGGCTCTTTGAAATCCCATTTTGTTGTGCCCAGTGTGATTTAGAGATCTGTTGGACTGAGACTCAATCAGTTTTGATTTAAGTCACCACTCAGCAAACAAAGCTGACTTTTGACATTGGGTCAATCACTGACTCAGTAATCTACCTCAAAGGATTCCTGAGAGGATAAAATTCAAAGGAAGAGGACCTCATAAGCCACCATAGGCTCCATGCAAGAGGGAAAAGATGGGCGGAGGGGGAAATATTATATTATTATAATAAAATCTAACCACCCTAAAATAGCTTGGTGTCGCTAGTGAATTTGGCCACTTGACTAAGTCCTTTAAAGTACTGGTCCCAATACAGATCCCTGTAGGACCTCCCCTGTTTACTTTCTTCCATTGGGAAAATTTACCATTTGTTTCTGCTCACTGTTCTCTGTTTTACTGTTACAGTTACGTTTTACCATTACTGATAATGACATTTTATTCCATGGAAAGATAAATCTACTCAAGAGTGTTTGGTGAAGGCCTTTTTGAAGACCAGGTAAACATATGCAATCCAAGAAACCTCGATTGCGGTTTGAAGAGACCATGATACAGTAATTTGCTGAAACTAAATAAATCTGTGGCTGAATTGGAAACTAACAGGGGGGCCCTATGCATACCACCTGGAACACCTGAATAGGAAAATGAACTATGAATGGAACAAATAAGAAAGACTGGCACTGACAGAAGTACAGACTAATTGGAGGAGAATGGCTAAATGAAATCTAGCCACTATTTTTCCTCCCTTGATATAATTAATACGGTGACTTCTTACAATGATACCAGTTTTTGAGGATGGAAGATCTTTTTTCTGACAACAGATGCGATTTGGACAAAGCAACAACTAGTCAATAATCCCAGGTACATGTCTGTATGGCAACTCTGTTACCAATTTCATTTTCCAATTTTGTGCATAAGGCATGGGTTTAGTTAGGTGGCCTTGAGAAATTATGTTATACTCACTTTTATTTCTCTTGTGGCTCTCAAACCAAAACCCTCTTCTCCAAAGTTATCCACTTCAAAACCTTCTGTGGAGGCACCATTGTCTCTGGCCCATTTGATTAGATCACTGAAATAATCTTCTCTTTTCCCATCAAATACAACAGATAAACCTACGTGTATATTTAATAGCAGACAGAAATATATGATGAACTATTGTTAACTGGTATATAAAGAACTTTTATCTATGTATAATAGCTTTAAAGTGTGGACAATGATAATGCAATTTTAGTTAACCAGAATCAAGAATTCTCAGAATAAAAGATAACCTCACCAGGCAAAAGTATTAGCAAGAAACTTCCAAGCTCCTGAGTTCTGGGGAAGTGAAGCATCCACTACTAATCAATGTAACATGATGATTAATTTTCCTTTTTTTAGGGAGTAGGGATGATACAAAATTATTTTTCCTGTAAGGAGGCTTTACTTGCCAACAAAGGAAATGGTGAAAGTGACAAATTACATCAGAACAAGAGGTAAAGTGACAGATAACGCTCTACTGTAAATTACTGAATTTTAATAAGTATAAAAAGGTTAAATTTTTAATGTTGTGTATTATTTTATTTACTTACTTACAATATTACATTGCAATGCTTTCTTTTATACTGAGGAAATCTTTTTTTTAATTTAACTAGGAAGAAAGTGCATCTCCAAAGCAGCAATTCTGTTTTCCCGTTTCTCTTTTAAAAACTGAATATGCATCTGAAACTCTTCAGCAGTAAATTTAAGCCAGAATATTTTTCATTAAATAAAATGAAAAAACATTACTTTTCACAGTGTGATCATTGGAATTCCCTATATTCAAAATATATTCTGCTTAGAATTTTTAATTGTGGTATCACAAATAACAGAGAGAGAAAAAAGAAAAGCTAAACACAAGGAAGGATTACCTTTAGAAACAGGGAGTTGTGTTCCCTATTGCAAGCAAATATCATGAAACAGTGCTAGTCTAAGAATAACATCATTCTGATTACAGTCAGAGACCAGACCAAAGTAAAACATGAAATGACAATACAGAAATATTGGGAAAATATAGGTAAATATTAGCCATTGGTTATAAAGTGTACATAAAGGTGCCAGTAACACATAATTTTATGTATGGTGAGCATACATAAAGCTCTGTATCAATTCAAATGCTGAAAGGATCTTTTGCATAATGTAGCAACCCACACTACAAATAAACTACGTAGTATGTGGGTTGTTCATGCACGTGACCAATGATAGGATTTATGGCTTCATTTTCCCTTCTTCCTTCCACCTTAGTCCTCCCAAAGGTATCAGAGGACCTGCATGGGAAAACTCAGTCTTCTTGCTTCTTCCCAATACATGACAAACCCTTTTATGATCACTGCAATCCCTCCTTCTACCTTCCATTTACTTTTCAAAGACCACTTTTCCAGATCCCCAAAGTGACAGCTTCTTCAAAGTGCCCAAGAGGCACACTGAAGCAGCTCTCAACGGTTCACCACTGCATTCTTTTGTACCAGAAGTAATTTGGGGGGAGGATGTTGGTAGTTTGATATTGCATAAATGCAAAACTCTGACATTGTGAAGTTGATGCCTTGCCTGGCTAATGTCCTGGTACATACGATCAAAGCAGGGAAATTGACAAAACCAGATCAATAATTTTCGCAGACAATGTGCATTTGGTGAGCATACCAAAATATTGAACCATTAAACACCTGATGATACGATACTATTGTTAGGGAATGCTGAATATCAGCTATTCTAGGTTTTCAAGGAGGAAACACAATACAGATTAAAGGTTGAATCCAGGAGCTTTCCTTCCATGGAAGGAAGGCTCCACTCATGGAATGTGCCCAACCCTATTTTCATTCAGCAGGGTCACCTGACCCTCACTGTAGCATTTTTAAAAGGCTGGAGAGGCTGCTGTGGGGATAAATCCATTTCCAGCACCACAGCTGCATGCATCTAAATCTGGATAACAGCTGTAATAAATAACAGTTGAAACCAACCCCATATTTAGCAACTGAATATTCAAAATACTTGAAGTGGTAACTGAAACTTCAATGCTGAGGCATGAATAAACAAAATATGTATAGTACCTACAAGTTCAACATTCAGGCATGAATATTTAAAATAATTCAAGTGGTACCTTCAAGTGGTATCAAGGCACTCCACCCAACCCTACAACAAGATTTGTCTATTTTGAAAACTTCTGCACAGTAACAAGAAAATAACCCATTTCAGAATATTAGAACATGTAATATTTTTGACTGTCAGGCTATACTTGAATTTGGAAGAAGGGTTTTAAAAAAGCAACAGATGTTTCAAATTTACTTCTGATCACAAGCAATTAGAAATCCCTTATGTTTCTTTACCTTTCTGTTTTTTACGAATTCTCTCAACAAGAGCTCGGATCTGCTGATATTCTTCCCATTCCTTTCCAGGACCTGGAGTTGGACTGCTGCATTCTGAAAGAATAAAACAAAATAATGTTTGGTTCACTGCATTTAGCTCTCCTCCTTCTGAACATCAAGAGCACTACTATGTTTAATTTCAACAGAGAATATTTGTTATTGGGCAGTATATATGCTATAAAAAAACTTGAGGCTCAGCACTAAAAATTGAAATGTAAAGAAATCATGAACTTCCACTATATTCAGAACTCAGGGTTAAACCTTGGACAGACTTGGGCACTTATCTGTTTACTGCCCAATCAAAATTATTTGGGTGGCTTTTAGTAATGAAAGCTTTCATTTTCAAAGTTAAATACTGAGCTGAAATTAACTCTGTGTACTGTTTCCATGCTACTTTATTTACATTCTTATCCCCTTCCCTTGAATTTAAGGATTATATACTTACTCTGCAACAGTTCACTAATTAGATTCAACATCTCTTTCGGAGAGACGACTGCTGTAGCTCCAGTACCTGACTTCTGAGTTTTCACTCGGCTTTTCTTCCCCATCTTTCAGCTTTAAGAGAACAGCAGTAAAACAAGCAAGGTTTTCTGTTATTATATTAACTTTTGGGCAGCAGGAAGATTTCATATTCTCTCTTACCACAGTTACAAACATATTGTCTGTCTTGTGGGAAAACGGAGAGGAAAGGTGAAGGTGTTCAAATATTCAGAAGGCTTAAGAAAAAACCTGGCATACTATAGAATTTTTTTTTTCAAAATCTCATAATTGAAGTATACATCATCCATATATATTACAAGAAAAGCACTGGTAGCCTTCCATGCAAGTTGTCAAAATACATATATACATAAATTTAGTTCAGTTAAAATACTGAACTAATGGGATTTGATTTTCACTAAGACAGATGTTCATTGGCAGCACAGAACTATCCAGTGGCAATAAAATACTTGGCTTACAATCTATCAACATAAAGCAGTTTATCTCTTTGTGAACTCAGAAGACCCACTGATTTCAGTGGGATTTACTTGCATGTAACCAGGGTCAATATACTGAACTAGGATAAGTAGTGTTTACCTGTACAAACAACCAGTGCTTAAAATCTTTTATTCTGCTTGTTTGTGTTAGAGTATCAAAACATAGATCTCTGTACAGATTTATGCACAGAGATCTTCTCTAAAAAAGAAGCTGTCAACACTCACTAATATGCTTGGGTACATGCACCAAAGTGCATCTCCAAATATAGAGGATCCAACTACCTTGGCACAAATAAGCATGTAAGAAAAGCTACAACAAGACTTTAAGCCAATCTCCACTCTAACTCAAGCTGGTCAAGATTTTGTGTTCAATTTTAAACTGTTCCACCAGAAATATTTCTTTGATGAGATACTAATACATTCTCTTCCTTCTCAAGCATTGGTTTTATAAAACAAAGAAATGTTCATTCAGTATTTTCCTTCAAAATGCACTCACATTGCATTAAATGATTGTCTAAACAAAGAATAAGTTAATTAGTGTAAGTCTTATACAATAAGATTTTTCAATCTTATCAATCAAGCCATCACAGAAGTATGATAGTAAGATTAGACACATTCTGAAAACATGCCATTAATAAAATGCTCCAGCAAATGCTGCACAACCCAAAACAGTGGTGCAAGTTGTAAGTATCCCAAAGAAAAGCAAAATAATCAGCATAGTGGAGCCACGTCTAAAAATAATTATTTTTATCAGACCTCTCATTTTAAGACATTAAACAGAAATTTTGAAATCTAAAGTATGGTAATACCACACATACAACATGATATATATAGTACTATCCACATATATGGTGCTCTACAAACAGTGAAAAGACAGGCCCATATCCTAAGGGGCTTACAATCTAGAAAGAGATGTTAGTTACACTAGATTACAGGTTTATGCCAAAATATCTTGAGTACTTAATTTTGATAATTCAATTTTTAACTCTTTGTGTAATCCCAATGAATTCAAAAAGCAAAAACTATTTAAGGAGTGGCTATAAATCTATACAAGATTTGCTAGAATCTTAACTGTTTACTATGCAATAGGAACCATATTACTAACAGAACTGACCTCCTCACCTCTAGTTTAAACTTTAAATAAAACTTTTTTAAATTAAAAAGAAATAATTTATTTTGATCCAGGCCACTCTTTAAAACCTAACCCCAGTGTAACTAACTTAAGGGAAAGGGACTTCTAAATATAGGAGGGATGAAAAGCTCAAGGGCCCAAGCGAAATTACCCTGGTTAACATCTAGAGCTTCAATGAAAGACATAAAAAGCATGTATGCAGAACAGAAAGTCCTCACTGTCAAATGAACCAACAAAACAATAAGAGATCTGACTTTTTTGTTGAAACTGTATTATTAGTCTTAAGGCTAGCAACACTAATTCATTGCCAAAGTAGGAGCAGAATTAATAGGCACATGCTTTTCATCACTGTACCCAAGGCCACAGCTTGAAAACTTAAAACAGAGCTGCCTGTATATAACACCAAGATCCAGGCAAAAGAAAGAAAGTACAGCAGGAGTTATATTTTTAAATCACTATAACGCTAAGTAAAGTTGGAGCCAACCATTCTAGAGTGGAACTCTGGTGAGACAAGTACCATATATATGGGCCTTAGAATTGTGTACCTCTCATATAATGTATATAATTTATATACATATAATGTATATAATTTATATACTGCCAGTGGTGTGCACAGTGTTTTATAGAATACAAGAAGCAGGATGAACAAGGGAAGAATATGCAATTGCTTCAAGTACACATTGCCACTCATCTCATCATTGTCTGTTCTTGTCCTTAATATCATATATAAGAAAACATGCCATAGTCTACCAGTTATGGTAAGATCTGGACACGTATTCACCTTTTCAACTTCTAGAAAAATAGTCTAAGGGTACAAATCTATGCATATTTAGACAGAAAAAAGTCTGACAACTCTCAGCATTCATCAACCAGGCATGCTAAATTGGGAACATCAGGAGTTGGCAGAACCTTTTTCTTTCTAAACATACACAGGATTGATCCCTAAAATTCTACTATTAGCATGGATGAAGTAAGACAACATCAAAAATTAAAACAGACAATATCTGTAGTTATTCTAAGCCCTCACAATACAGTCAATTAAATCTTGAACTCTTCAACTTATTTCTACCTTCTTTCAAAGTCCAAACTAGTTTAAAGTTAATTATTTATTAAGCACAAGATTCAAATGAATAATTTTAGAAAGAAAAAAGCAGCTTTTAACACTTAAAGGGAATTTTAAAAGAATTATCCTGTGAGCTTTTAAAAACAAAAAGTGGGCTGCATAACTGGACCAGAGGCCTTTCTAGCCCAGCACTCCATTGTACTTAATCAGAAAAGGCAGCAAGAATGTCATGAAGGAAGCCATCCCATTTGTCCCCAGCATCTGACAATTAGAGGTGTATGTCTTCTGAACAGAGAGACTTCAATTTTATTTCTTGGGGCTAATTGCTGCAAAACCTAAATGTAATTTAATTATATTTTATACTTTATTATTTTTGCAATTGCTTAAGGTGCTACTGTTGTTGAACTATTACAGGAATTCAGCCCACAAGCAGAAGTTAGTATGCTTTGCAATGTCTCCAGATTAGAACTAAGGCTGATATAACTGATAAAGAAGCTGTCCTTTCAACTTCCTTTCTCAAAGTGACTGGCTGAACTAGAAATTCTATATTATAAAAGTGAATTCTACTTGTGTTAGTCATCATAAATGAATTGTGCATCACAGTTTTACTTGTGAATCAAAATAGTTCCTTTCTTAAATCAATGGTAGGCAATATACTGCCCTCCATGTGTTTTGTACTACAGTTCCCATCTACCCCTGCCACCATGCCCCCAACGATCAGGGATTATGGGTGTTGTAGTCAGGAACCTCTGAATGACACCTGTAAAGTAATAGATATGTTAGATTTCAGCAGACTTCTGCAGAGAGGCCTACTTCAATACCCAAGCAATGGACTTTTCTCTCATTAATTCCATACTGCAACTTAACTTTTGTTATTTTTCTTACTTTAATTACAACATAAAGCATTATAACTCAGGCATTAAGGTTAACATTAGCGTTTTCTCCAGTAAAGTATAACAATTACAGTCAATAGATATTCTGATGGAAAGTGAACTAAAATTATTGTATACCAGTACAACAATATACCTACTGGATTTTTATCAGTTAAAGGAAAGAGAATATCATTCTGTAGCATCTATCAAAAACTGTCTCCACTTCTCCATACAGCACAAGTCCACTGCACACCAGCCTTTTCCTACTTTGTCATATGAAGGTTCTCAAATACTACAATATATATTAGTTTTGATCATGTTCTGAAAACAAAACCTTTGTTATGTAAATATTCTCTAGAGGTAATCTAATTGAAAACCCTTCAACAGTATCAACTCACTAACACACTTGTCTGTCATAAGCAAAGAGAAGGGCATATCATTGCACAGGTACACACAGAAGTAGTAATAAGATTAGTAAATCAAGAACAGATAGCTTAAATCAGCCAGCCATTTTAATAAAAGAAAATGAACCCCAAAGGATTGCGGAAGCTAACAATTTTATCTCATTTTTCTCTGGTTCTTATTACTCTTCTTTGCTGGTGTGTGTAATGGAGAGGTACACGTGGTGTTCAACTGAAATATAGTGAGGCAAGTAAGATTTCAAGAAATGGAAAATATCTATCACAAAAGTTGACAAATGAAGACTATGGTGATAAATGCATAACTACTGAAAAAACTAACAGAAGAAAATATGCAAAGAAACCCAAGCAAAGCAAATAGTATCACACCATTATCTATATACCATTCGATAGCAACCATGACTCTGCTAATAAATAAGACACTGTACATTAAATGTGTGGGTGAATAAATATAGTACAGCAATAAAGCCATTAAAAATGAATATGTGACTGAATAAATCACAATTTACTCAAAAGAAAATTTGGTAATGTAATGAGAATGAAAGATCCAAGATGCAAACAAATGCAATCACTCCCTGAGAAATGTTTGGTTATGAGCAGGTGAAAGCTGGAAAGAGGAACTGTAAACATGTTCGGCAAACAAGATCTAAAATGGCTTTGGAGATTTATATAGAGCACACAAGTAGCCCCTTATAGAACCAGACGAAGCTGAAGCCAAATCTAGAAGATTACTGAGTTGGAAAATGGTAGCTTCACCCAGCTATGATGAAGAGGCAGGAATAAGGGCATCACCTGCACAAACAGGACAGAGATTTATGAGAAAGGGGAAATGAGTCACTTGTGACAGGTCCTGGTGAACATGTGCATATTGTGTATTATTAAAAACCAAAATTATTACCAGTATTTTATTCTAGACTGAAACTCTGCTGCATTAGTAATATATAGCTATTATGAGTAAATACATAAGTAACATAGTATCTGTGAGAAAAACAAAGTTAGCACTAATGTCAAGAACTGATGAACGCTACCATGAGGAGAGTAATGAACACATACACAGGAACTACATGTTAATTAAAGGTAGTAATAGGACTGAAATAAAAGGAAAGTTCTAGAGAAAGAATTATGAGAATCATATACATAAAAGGGTCAGTAAGACTGGCAGGGATTACATCAAGAGTGGATTCAAAAGATGATACTCCCTGAAACTACATTCCTCACTTCAAGATGACAGTGTGGCAGCTAGGCTATGTTATAACCAACTGCAGGAAATATTTGGAAACCACATGCCAAAAGACAGTGAGATGAAGGGCAGGCTGTCATAGGCAGCAATGGAAAGGAAGCCAAAAAATTGTGACTATAATTTTAGCAAAGGAAGAGGGGCTGGAAACTAAGAAATAAATGAGATGGACAGCAAGACACATAAAACGGGGGCGCAGGAAAGGGAAGCCATCAGGCAGGAATACAACATGTAGCTAAGGCACTGAGAAATGAAGAGTGGAGATTAAGGCACCTGGGGCTGCTACCTCATGCAAATTTATTTGAATGCGAGTCTCGCTGACCTATTACGGGCCAGCTCGAAAATAAACATGCATGGGGCTCTGGTCGAATCTGATGGGCTCATCCCGCAGCGTAAGAATGTCTGAATATCCTATATATATCCTATATATACAGACACAATCCTACGCGTGTCTGAATATATTTAAGAGCACAGGATCGAACTGCGCGAGTAGCAGGAAAAGTCAGGCCAGGCCCCTCCACCTACTATTCTAGAGCGGATGCCTACGGGGCTAAACGCCGTCAGCGATGACACCCAAAAGGAGAGGGCAGTGGTTGTTCCGGGTTAACTAACACGGCGTTGCGTGGGCGTGATCGTGAAGCGAGAAGGAAAGAGTGACGAGGCGACCTCCTCCTCGACGACGTGCGTCGCCCGCTCCCTGCGACGAGCGCAGGCGACGACTACGCGGGGCCCCCAACACGGGGGCGAGGGAAGGCGCCAGGGCGAGAACAGGCCCCCCTCGGAGACGATATGCATAAGTGCGCGTTAGGGGAACAGAACAGGCCTCCCCATTACCTTTGAGCGACGACAACACGGGGCTCAAAATCCTCTCACCGGACGGCTGCCCGGGATGTGAAGGGCGAGGGGGGAGAGGCAGCGGCGGCGGCCGCGAAGCCAACCACAGCCCCGCCGCCCCTCGCGTACAGACACCCCACTCACTCCGCGCTGGGGCACTCAGCGCTTGCCCCGGTCCGCCTGAAGCTCGGCCCCGCCCATGTCCCCGTAAGGACCGCGGGACGCCATTGGCTCACAGGTGTGGCAGTGGGACAGCTGGCCAATCCTCGCTTCCCCTCAATCACCTATGGCATGCCGGGGCGGGGCGGGCCGGGCCGTGTACGCGAGAGCGTGAGCAGAGAGAAGAAGCGGCGAACGGAACGCCACAGGGAGGAGGTGTCGAGAACCTTGATTGGCAGAGACACTTTCTCCCTTTCTCTCCCTGCCCCCCCCCCCCCGCCGCCGTCCAACCCACCTCTGCTGTCTTCGGAGAGATCATTGGTTGGAGTGTCCGCCTTCATTTCTTTGTTGTGGCCCTCCTATTGGCCGGTGGCATCAGAATTGCTTTTTCAGGCAAAAGCGCCTAAGACACGAACTAGCCTTCTTTCTCACGCAGGCGCGTGTGAGAAGGAGGCGGGGCGAAGAGTAGAGGCCGAGAGCTTGGATTCGTGGGGCGGCCTAAACGTGCTGGCTCGTGCACGGCTGTCCGCTCTCGCGCGCCGGCGCAAAGACGTCAGCAACGGCTTTACCCGAGCTTTTCCAAGATGGCGCTGCGCAGGAGGTGTTGTTGACGGTTTGACGCGTTTGGGGGCTTCGTCGCGACTGTTTCTGTGAGTGGCTCGAGCGGGATGGGGGACGACCTGAGATGGTTGAGAGGCACTTCTTACTCCGAATTCTATGGGACGCAAGATGGGGAGGCCTTTGATCAGGAGGCGGCAGCTTTGTGAATTGGACGGGGGCGCCGAGATGGTTTATGGGGAGTGTTCTCACTTATCAGAAATGTAGGGTAGAAATTGAACAATACGCTATTTGGTGGCTGGGTATGGGATATTGTGTTTCAGTTCTTGTATTTATGTCCGCCTTTTTCTTGCAAGGGACCAAAATCAACTTACACAATCCTTTTTCTGTCTATTTTTCACTGGCAAACTTGTGAGGTAAGTCAGGCTGAGAGTCTATGATTGACCAAAGTCAGCTAGCGAGCTTCGTGCTCGAACAGAGACTAAAACCTGGATCCTTGGGTCCTGGTTCAACACTCTAATTGCTACAGCACGCACCCTCTCAGGCTTAGAATTGTTTGACAAGTGTGTGCTCTCCCTCTCTGGGTAATTTTATTCTGTATGCCATTCTGTGGGAGAGCACAGAGAGTTGGTGGCAGTGCTTCAACACTTAATATGGTTGGTGGTGTGACCAGAGGTCGAATCAGAACCCCTGTAATACTTCTTCCAGTAAATAAAGGAACAAGTCCCATATTCTGTGTTAAGGTCAAAGGTTTTAGAAAAATGGAAGGCTTTAAGGTGCTCCCTAATTTCTCTTGATACTGATGCAAAGGGCTGGCTGGCTGGCAGTGAGTAGGCTCTGCTGCCACAGAAAGAAGTGTTTGTTTGGCACTAAGGAAATGTGTGGCACAATAGTATTTAATGATGTGTTAGCTTCCTTGTGTGATGCAAAAATTCAAAAGGGTAAAGGGTGTTAAATGTACAATACAAGAATAAAGAGAGCAAGTATAGGATTAAGACTGGCTTTCTGAGTGATAGATGTTAATGCACATAAATGCCAGAAAACTTGCTATTCTAATTGAAAGTCTGTTTGTATTTTTTGGTCTTGCGAAGGTCACTTCTCTACCCCACTGTAATACTTTTCTTCATTTTGAACATGATAGAGAAGATAAAATAATAAAAAGGGTTCTGTTTATTCATTTGCTTTGTTGACATGTATAACATTGCTATGTCATCCTTAACCAATATTTCTTTTCTTCAGAGGTTCTAAAGGCACTATTTGAAAAGTGCACCTTTGAAAACCTGTCAAACAAGAACCATTTTGCATCAATAAATGAAGGAAAACAAAGAAAATTCCAGCCCTTCTGTAGCTTTGGCAAACCTGGACCACACAAAACCATGCTGGTACTGGGATAAGAAAGACTTGGCACATACACCATCACAGTTAGAAGGACTTGATCCAGCAACTGAGGCAAGGTACCGGAGGGAAGGTGCCCGATTCATATTTGATGTAGGAACCCGTTTAGGACTGTATCCTTTGAGTTTTCTGTGTTGCGCAGTTAATTTAATTCCTCACATTTGAATTAAAATTGTTTTTGCGTAATATCCAAATCCTGTTAGTGTTCTCAAATTAACCATTAATCGTACTTAAAAGTTTAGTAACTAGAAACTATCAAATCATCCACTTTTACTTTTTCCTTCTTGATTTTAACCAGAAATTGAATTATTCATTTTTACAGTGACCAAGACTCATACTGCTTTAAGCTGTTTTTTAAAAATTTTAGTTCATAATGTTTTAACTAAATTGGAACTACTTTAGGTGTGTTTTCAAATGAATAACACCATATATTCTTAAACTAGCAAAGGAATATAGTGATAAATATACAGTTTTGAGCATACTAATATATCTTGCAAATTACTTGACTGATGAAATGAAACCTTATTTTAAGTCTGTTTTTCAACAATTATGCATTCTTCGCTCTTCTTATTCACAATCATTGACAGTCAATTTCAATACCATTGATATGCATTATAAACAAGGTGGTTCACAATCCCTATTTACTCCTTAACTCTCATGTATGAAGTCATAAGGTAAAAATGGTATATCCACTATTTATGTTCTGTAACCATATAACTATATGTATGTGGGACTTTTCCTATATGTATTGGAAACTTTGATTTTCCAGGAGTCATGATAAGGCACAGTCCCATATCTCATGTGCTTACTTATGAGGAGGTTATCTAGTGAACAAGATTAATGAAATAGGTATTTTAGAATGTAATTGTATTGTCCATTTCCAACATCTTATCTATGGTAATCCAGCGAAGCATTTATAGGATGTGAGCTAAGAGTACTTTTCCCTTTCCCCTCAATCCTTGAACTATGATCTCATGTAATATAGCTCATTCTCAGAAACAAAAGAAAGAAAAGAAACTTACAGACAACAGTGGCTCTACAACATTGGTACTTTCTGCCAGAAATGAAATTCCAACTGTGTAATCAGCAGAAGTAGGCATGGGATAGAAGGGTAGTTAATTCCTTAGTCCATTCTGTGCAGAAACTGTAAAAGCGCTGAGTTGGAGATGGTCAGTGATTACCTTGTGCTTATGTGAATAAAGTGATTTAAATATGATTAAATGGTATAGCATGTATCAGGGTATGAGCTTGGCTTGTTTCAAAGTAACTTATTGAATGGCAACCTCAGTTGCCCAAAATTTTGGGGGCTGAAACAAAGCTCAGCCTTAACTAAGTAACACGTTCTATCATAAATCATAAGCTGCTTACAACCTGATTATCTCATTGCGTGGAAAAAGACCTGCTGAGTTCATTTATTTCCAAACCATTGTGCATAGAAGTGTAAGTTGAGTGTGCAGGTCTTCATGCTTACTATTTTAGTAATATATTTCTTTTATTCATTATATTACTGTTTGCAACCATACTATAAAGTTATGTGGGCAGTTCACAATCAAATACAACAGTAAAATGCAATGCATAATAATACATTGAATACACCATTTTGATATGTTATCCATTTCCATTTGACGTTAACAATTATAGCTGAGTTTAAACTAAGTTCTGTTTATATCCTTATCCTGTGATTCAGACATTATGATACACTAGCAACTGGAATAATATACTTTCATCGATTCTATATGTTTCATTCCTTCAAACAGTTTCCAAGATATGTAAGTATAAACCTGTTGCCTTTGTTTTAAGTCATTGGTATTAAAGGAAGTAGTATTACTAATTCTGTAGCATCAGTCTATATTGTGTTTGACAAAGACTAGAAGCCAGGTCCCAGTGCTAGGGGCTTAAAATCTAGAAACCATGGGGAAGAATATGTAATTCCAATTGCATATTTTTAGGATTCATTGAAGTAGAATGTGTGTATAGTACAGAAAGCTTTAATAGAAAATGTAAATGTAGGATGGGAAGTATATTATTCGGCATCAGTTCAGTTTCCTATGGTGAAATCAGGCAATAATTGTATTCAGATGCTATGATATGCCAAAGTTCTGAAGAATCTATATTTACTTTGAATGTGCTGATGTATATGGCCCATTTGCTCTTACTTGGCTCTTCCTGCCTGTGGGAACATCTACACAAACCAAGAATCAAAAGCTTACCATATTGTAAAATATGACTCCTAGCCTATTGCTTTTGTAAACCAAGAACAGGCACTTGTTTGTGATCTTGGCTAAGAGCAAGCCAAGAATCTTAGCCTGAATGACATGCTAAGCTTTTGATTCTTGCTTACTTAGCGGTACCTGCTGGTAGAGAAGAGGACGGTAGAAACAAATCAGCTGCATGCAGCAATACACAGCCCTTTTAGAGAAAGCCAGAATTCCCCAGAATGCTTAACTTGGGCATCAGGAAATTGTCAATTTGTTCTTGATGTGGTAATCTATTGCATTATATGGTTCATTGTACAAATAAAAATATACCAGTATTTTATTTATTTTAAGTATTTCTTGGTCACCCTTCAGTAGAGAGGCTCTCCCAAGGTTGTATGTAACAATCAAACATATAAAACTGTTACTCTTATTTTGTGTTTTTACTGCTTTTTAATGCTGTAACACAAATCGAATGATAAGACAAATGTGTGATAAACTGGCTGTCATTACACTTCAGTGCCAGTAGGTGGGGCAAAGAGATTTCTGTAACCTGAGAGGCTAGAATCTCTACAGGATCAGGTTTTTAGAAATAGCAAACTAGATGGAACTTTAGCCTGATCCAACAAAGTATGCTTCAGTCCTGAGGTTTAAGGGCCACCTGGGTGCAGCTGCTGTACTGTCAGTGGATGGAAAATGGGGATTGCTTGAGGAAAAGGCTGTTTCTCAGACCCAGAGGTCGACCATTGTGGGAAGGATCTGTACCTCCATGGAAGAGCACAAGTTCTACATGCAGTAGATCTGCAGTGTTTTCTGGTGGGGTGGGAAAGACTCCTGCCAAAACTCCTGGTGAGCTGCTGCCAGTTAGAAGCAATGATGCTGGGCTTAGATGGACAAATTGTCTGACTCTGTATACTGAGAAGTAAGGAGGCTGAAGGATTGTTCCCTTTATGTATTTGAACTACCCTTCTAGCATGAGCACTGATCTGATCAAACTGTTTTCGGCAGCTTTCCAAACTACTGGCAATAATTATATTTTACAGTAAATTATGAAATGCTAAGTGTGTATTCTTTCCATGTTATGAATGAACTGTATGTTTTATATAAATATAATTAAATTTTTAGAATAATTGACTAGTTTATTTCTTCAAGTTCTCCATCAAGACAACTTTCTAAAGCTGCTGTTGTTGTTTGATAGGTGACTGGGGCTTGCTGTCTCTTCCTAGCAGGGAAAGTTGAGGAAACACCCAAAAAATGTAAAGATATCATCAAAACAGCCCGTAATTTACTAAATGATGTGCAGTTTGGACAGTTTGGGGATGATCCAAAGGTAAACTGACAAGTAGCAATGATTCTTCTGCTTAAAATTGTTACGGTGCAACCCTGATAGTATTAACTGTAGATGTTTGTCGGTAGACCATGTGATTTCAGCGATGGTCTTGGTGTAAAACAATTTAAATCAGAAGTAAGCCTGAGACAGAAAACTTGAATTGTTTTGTATAAAATATCTAAATCTTACTATTTCAGTAGTTATCAGCTGAAGGACAGTTCAGTGGTTAGGTTCATTTAGAAATTTTTTTCACGTTATGTTGTTTTGAAAGGCAATGTATACTGCAGTGTTTGTTGTTCTCCTGTTGCATTTGCCTGTCTTTTCAGCAAAGAAATAATCCACTGCACAGGGGAAGCAGTGAAACTGGCCACACAGAGTGCAGCCATATGCATACAGTAAGCAAATTGGAAAAAATAAAAATTTGTCACTTGTTTGTTTATAGTATTTGTAGGCAGTTTCTAATTTTCAGTCTTCAGACAACTTAGTCACAAAGGTAATCATTACAAAATTAACAAATGTTAGAAAACCGGAAGGTTGACATGGTCAAATTATTTCTTTGGCTTGTCTCTACAAAATTTGTTTAACAAGGTGTATGTGATACTAGACTGTCACATATTGTCTGTCGGTGGCTCTGGGTGTCTAGAAGTATCTGAATACTTTGTGAGCAATTCCTTAGAAAGCTTATTGTGTTTATATGTTCTGGTGAGAATTGCTGTAGACCTAAAGCAACTGAACAACCATCTGAGAGGGATGGTTTAGCTTAGTGTCCTGCACTGAGCAGGAGGCTGGTCCTAATGGCCCTCTGGCTTCTTTCAACTCTAGTATTTTATGATTCTGTGATTAAAGCTTTCGATAGCCTTTGAGAATCCAGATAACCAGCCTGAAGAGTAACCAGCACTTTGCTGAGATATTGATTCCTGAAGATGTGCTCCATCCAAGACCACATAAATTTTGCTATAGGCTGTAAGCTCCTGTCAGTTTGTTGGCTGCAGTATTAAAAGAATGTATGTACAACACCAATCCTGCCATCTTATTATAGCCATAGATGGCTGACTTACTCATATTTTGTGAGGTGGTACTACAAGAAATGACAAACTGAAAGAAGCTGTTCACATAAGCTTGCAGAAAAAAATAAAGTAGTTTTATATAGATACCACTAACATCCAAATGATGTCTTCATCATAGAGATTTTGTTTCGATTATTGAAAGTCATTGTTGAAATAACAGAAAGCAAACAGCTTTATTTCTTTCCTAGAAATTAGCATTTGACTGCAAGTGTGTGTAGTTTTACTCTTTGCCCAGAATTGACAGCAATACTAAGTATTTCCTTCTAGCCTAAAATGTGGTTGTTCAGCAGATTCAGCAATTGGTTTTCCTGTGGGGCCGTATTGTGGAGGCAGTGAAAAGCAGCCACCTCACTGCTCACACCTCACCTCTTTTTCTTCCCTATTTTGCCCTTGCTGTCACTTTCCCATCAGGCCAAAAGGATCTTTTTCCAAAAGGGGAAACTGGAAAAATATGGGGCTTAAGTGTAACAATGTCAGTTTGTGCAGTCCTGTTATTTTTATTATTATTGGGTAGCTTTTAGGCTACAGTAACATCAACTGTAGGATATGGAGAGAAAACTGAAGTGTTCTGGTCATCCACTGTTGAGTTAAGTGGTAATTGTTATTGCTGAATATGTTGCACAACCAAAAAATGCAGGTGCTTATATGCATTTAATTTTATTTAGAAGGTGCAAGAATGGTCAGCTCATAAAAAAATACTTGAGGCTGCTTCATGCCTGATGTAAATAACTGTAGATACAGTATTATTGTGTAATGCTATCTAGAACTCTGATATATAAAAATAATTAGCTGATATTTTGAAGTAACATAGGCCTTGCTCTCTTGTGATATTTAGGAAGAAGTTATGGTTTTAGAGAGGATTTTATTGCAGACAATAAAATTTGATTTGCAAGTAGAGCACCCTTACCAGTTCTTGCTTAAATACGCCAAGCAACTTAAAGGTAAGGAAATAAATGTTCACTACTGAATGTTTGCATGTATTTATTCAGTTAACAATTTTTGTAGCTGTCTTAGCCAATTTAATCTGCAAGAATTTAAAACAGTGACATATATATATATATATATATAGAGAGAGAGAGAGAGAGAGAGAGAGAGAGAGATTGGTTAGTCTAGTTTGTATGTAAGTTTTAGGATATATGACAGAAGCTGAGTTTATACTTGTTGCAGTCTTTGTCTGAATTTATTTGCACAACTAGTTTGTTAAGAGCTGAACTCAGTCTTCTTTGCCTTTTCTGTGCACAAAAACTATGGGAAAGAGCATGAAAAGTTTTTCATGCATGTGATTGATTGTGTGCATCTTTAGAAGCCACAGGAAATCATGATTTCCAAGGAAGAGACATTGCATTCTCCTTGGAAGAAGTAACATGTCTTGCATTTTAGAAACTAGTTAGATTCAGCCCAAGTCAAAGCAGCAGAAAGGGCACTTTGTGGAGAGCCCTCGTCAGAAACTTTAAATTTGCAGGGTAGCTGCTTGGTGGCAAAGATGCAGGGCTCTGAGATTACTTACTACTTATCTGCTGGTTGCCTGTAATTTTTTTTAGAGACTTTAAGTACACAGTCTATTAAAGTGGAACCTAGAATTAAATACTTGAGTAAATAGTCGCTCATCCCCCTGGAGGTTAGTGTTACTCAGTTTGGGGCAAGCGTATGAACCAGCTTTTTCTGTGATGTTCTGATACCTGCTGAGCCTGTAAGTTAGAAAACTGCATACAATTTGTAAGCTACAGTCCTATGTATGCTTCTGAGTAAGCCCCATTGACAGATTCTGAACGGAAGCTAAAAAGTGTGGCTGTCAGCTTTCTACCTATCAAGCCCTCTCTACCAGCCTTTCCCTGGGGAAAGGCCAGATGAGGAGAAAAGTGCAGCCCATTGGTCTCTTCAGTTTAAAGGCTCATGAAGCACCTTTAGGTAGCAGGAACCAGCACTTACTTCCTTTGTCGCCTTCTTTCCAAGGGGAAGAATGCCGCTTCCATCCTTTCAGGCTGCTTTCTTTACACCAGAATAGGAAAGGCCAGTGAGGACATGGGCTGCCAATTTGACTGTGCATGGCCAAGGCTGTTCTTGACAATGCAGGTGCCAAACAATGCTCAGTCTTACTACTAAACTTTGCAGATGGACAGGGGACAGGGTTCACGGTGAAAGTGCCTATACTACCTTTGTCCATCTCTCCAGCTTCAAAGCAGAGAAGAACCTGGGCTACTCATCAGACTTTTCAGTCAGTCTTGCCAACATCACCATTGAAGTGTGTCCACTGACATACCTCACTCAGGCTTCTGTGGATGCTTACTCAGAAGTGCGTTACACATCCGATAACTACAAGATTGTTTATCATTTTAATGCAGTAATACTATTTCTCCCATTTCAATAGGCGATAAGAACAAAATTCAAAAACTGGTTCAAATGGCGTGGACATTTGTCAACGACAGGTAAAAATCTCTGCAGTCTTAGTCTAATTCTTGCTTTATAATGCTGTTTGAGCTGGTCATTTTCTTGTCTGATATTTCCAGAAGATTTTTAAAAATCATTCAGATTTATTTGCCACACATCTCACAAACTTGGCCAAAGAGTGCTTAAGTGTGTTGGAAGCTGGCAAGAATTATGTATCAGTGTGTGTAGTGGGTAGAGTTGGAACTGGAAATGGGGGCACTAGAATCAGTGCTTGAATGCAGTAAAGGGCTAGAAGAATGTAATAAGCCTCAGCTCAGTCTGGACAAGATGAAGGCACTGCTTGTGAATGTTGACCTGCCAGAGTAAATGATACTCATTCTGTTCTGTAAAGGCGTGCTTTCCCCCTAAGGATCAGATGGAGGTTGTCACTGATTGATCTTCATTGCTGGGAGCACAAGTGGCACAGAGCCCCTTCTTCCAGCATAAGCTGATACACCAACTATGACCTTATGTGGACAGGAATAGTCGTAGTAACAGCACATGTGTACTTTTACAGAGTATTGTCTATCAGCCTACCTTTTAAAACTGCTGAAATCCTCAATTAATTCAGAACATTGTTGCATCAAAATTAAATTTGAATGCATTCTTGGTCATTGTTTTGTGCTAAATCAGAAGTCTTTGTGCTGCTAAGTCTCATTTTACAGTACCTGGTAGAAGTTAAGCAAAAGTAAAACCTTTCGTCTTTCTGGGGATCAGAGAATTCAAAATTCTGATGCACCTTAATTATGTTCCTAATTAAGCTGCTGTAGAAGATTGCAAGAAAGAACTGAGATGAGTTCAGTCTGCTTGCCCAATATCAAAGTATCTTTTTTCTAACACATTCCATGTCAGTAAATATTTTTCTTGAGACTCTTAAGATAGCCTGTTACATTGATTGTGATCCCATATGTAAGTTTGGTAACATCTGAATCACCCCATGTGTCAAAAGCTGAGTTAATGCATTTCTTTGAGCAAATTATTCAATCCCTAATTTGACACAAAGCCAAATGCATTTTGTATTGATCCCATACTTTGCTAGATTACTGAAAATAGGGTTGTTTATAAGCACTAAACTAACCTTTTACAATTTTGATATGAGGTTGTTTGATCTGTTCGGGTCATATCATGAATTTGCTTCCTTACTGCATTTTGATGCCAGCTTTCTGATTAATCATTCAAGCTGGTTTTTATTTCATAAATCATTCAAGCTGGTTTTTATTTCATAATCACCAATTAATAATACAGAAATCTCTGAATTTTGGTTTGCTTTTGTAGTTTGTGCACCACATTGTCACTGCAGTGGGAACCGGAGATTATAGCTGTTGCAGTTATGTATCTGGCTGGCCGTTTGTGCAAGTTTGAGATTCAGGAGTGGACATCAAAGCCAATGTACAGGAGATGGTGGGAGCAGTTTGTGCAAGATGTACCTGTTGATGTTCTGGAAGGTACTGGAAAGAACTGCTCAAAATGTTGTCTAAAGCAAAAGTGGGAAAATGATGGAGTAATTTTAAATTTGGTGGCTTCTTAGAAGACCACACTATTTCAGGCAGAGCTTTCAAATCTGCTACATACATGCTTATTCTTTAGCTGTCTGTTCGTATGTTTAACTTCTGGTCTTTCATTCTTCTCATTGTAAAAGACATATGTCATCAGATCTTGGATCTGTACTCACAAGGGAAGCAACAGATGCCTCATCATACCCCGCATCAGCTGCAGCAGCCTCCTTCACTTCAGTCTACACCTCAGGTGCCTCCACCACAGCAGTCTCAGAGTTCAGAGCCGTCACAGCCGCAGCAGCCCAAAGAGTCTCAGCCAGCTGGACAGCAGCCGCAGCAACCGCAAGCACAACAGTCCAAGAAACCTTCTCCTCAGTCAAGTCCTCCCCGGCAAGCCAAACGACCTGTGGTAAGAATAACAGAAACAATATGATTTTGCAAAGCAGCGGACATCTTGACCCATGTTATTTCTGGGTTAACTTCACTTACTGCTTATAAAAGCACCTATTGTACTAGGTGCTGTACATGAATAAAATAGAGCTCTCTGCATCCTAGGCAGGCATGAAACAAATGGAAAGGAATATGAGCATTACTAATATTGAATTGTGAACCACCCGGAGAGGTTTGACTATTGGGATGTAGAAATAAAATTTCCAAAAATTAGTATAATTCCTCCCCAGATATGCAGTTGATCAGGTGTCTAGCTGGTCAAATTAGACTAGAAATTCTGACATTTGAAATAGAGGAACTATTTTTGTTAATTATTAGTTCTATTAAATGGCTATACATTTTTGTGCATTAAAGTTTTTACATGAATTTATTGCATGTTTTGTATTTTAATATTTGTGAACCACCCAGCAAGCTTTGAGCTATTGGGCTGTGTACATGGGATCAACAGGGACTTCCAGTGGTATCTACAAAGCTTTCTATTTCCTGTTACCTTCCCAAAAAATAAATAAATAAAACTTGGAAATGTTAGGGGAATGTTTCTAGCCCCTCTAATTATTTTTCTCCTTCTATGTCTTTGCCTTGCCATTTCACTCCCTCCCAGCCACTGGACTCATCCCATGGCTCTCCCCACCCTACCTCATTAGCTCACTTTTGATTACTCCCTTGGCAGCCATTATGTGACTGCCCACATCCTCTGGGAATCATTTTGTAGTGGTGCCCAGAGAAGCTTCTCAAATTTCTAAATGTGCCTATAGGTCCAAAAATGTGCTGGTAATTTATATCCTAAACATTTGATTAGCCAAGGCCAAGAGCAGCCTCACCTAGTACAGTTGCTTACCTTATTTTGATTGTACTTTTTAATCCTGCTATTTCATATTGGTTCTTAATCATAGATACCTGTACCATTCTGTAGCAATTTCCCGACTTGTTCTCTGTGCTGTTGACCTACTTTGGGCAGGAACCTTACGGAACATAAAATCGTCTTAATATTTTTGCTCTAAAAGCAATCTTCCTGTTTATAATAGGTCAAAACTTTTGTCTGGACAGCCTTTGACTAGACTTCTGTTATATGCCTGCTATGACATTGCCTTAAAATTGCATAGAGGCAATGAAATAGAAATAGAATAAAAGAATGCTATTAAATTTAAACTATGGACAGAGTATCAAGTTGAAAGACCTTGGCTACATATTATGAGAAGTGTCAGTGGTGCTGTATTCTTATACATATCAAGCATGTAAATCCCACTACCAAGTGTGATTTGGGTGTTTAATTTGCACACTGCTTCCCTCTTTAACAGGCTGTGTCCCCAAAGGATGAAACGAAAGCTACAGGTAAAATAGGGATTTTTCTTCTGTTTATCTATTTTGTAAGATTAAATTTTATTTGAAGTATTTTTATCTTGCTCCGTCTCCATATTTTTTCTGAAGTGGTTTAAAATCAACAAATAAGACAGTTCCTGTCTTCAGGCTCACAATTTAAAATAGACATGAGGTACAAGGGAAAAGAAATGAGGAGAGGAGAGGAAAAGATTATATGGAGTTTCAGCTTGGCTGAAATTTGACTGATGGAATGGCTATCACTATCCTTTAACCTCCTGGGGGTGAAAGTCACAGTCCATCTGGAACAGGCCCTGAACAGGTCCTTTGCCTGCTCCTTTCTCCTTCCCTTTGTCACCAGATGAATTCTATCCGTTGAACTGGGAGGAAGCAAACCAGCTTGTGCAAACCCTGATGTCCCCCCTGCCTCCTCCTGTCCTGATATCTTCCTTCACCTGCTCCCCCTCCTCCCTTCTGCAAAGCAGACATAAATTGCTTACAGTGCCCTCCTGTGCATGTCCACCTAGAAGCAAGTCCCACTGAAATTTAAATTCTACAATTGTATCATTTTATGTTGAACTAAACTAATTTGATTGCTACTTTTTTGCTATGTTAATTGAAGCATTCCCTCTACATATTGATAAATTTTCAGAGGCACCACCTCCTAAGATTGCTAAGATTGAAACTTCGCATCCACCAGCTCCCCCTGCTCATCCACCACCTGGTAAGTTCTGCTGTGAGTGAGCAAGATGGTATTTGATGGGCCATAATATTTGTTCTTTATATGAAACTATATGTATATGATTTGTAAGCCAGGGTAATTTTTCCCCAAGGTCCCATGCTCTGAAGGCTGCTGCGGAGGGGAGTCTCCACTAGTCTCACACAGAACAGCAAATATTTTCCTCCATTAGTTTCTTCCCCATCATGGGCAAGCACCCATCATGGGCAAGCATATTTGGCACCCAACCAAGGTGCCAAATAGAGGAGCTTCTTCTTTTCTTTTTCTTTTTTGGAAAAAATATATGTATACAAACAAAAACAGTAAAATTTTACAATCTACACAAATCTTAAAACAAGACTAAAAACAGTTAACCATCTCCACATATCCTTAAAATTATTTTACTTATCAAGCCCTTTTTCAACTTAATTTCACAAGTTAACTTATCTTTGATAGCTGTATTTCAAACCTCTTTATACTAGTCATCTGAGAAGGAGCTTCTATCCAGTATCTCAGTGGTAAGGAGTAGCTGCAACTCTGTACGTTGACCTGTGCTGGGAGAGAGATGGGGAAGTGTGACCCTGTTGGTACTCCTAGATCTCTTAATGGCTTTCAGTGAGATTAACCAAGGTGTATTTCTGGGGCCACTGGCTGAGTTGGGAGTGGGGCTGCTAGACTGCAGTGGTTCTGGACAGCCAACTCCATGGGGAATATTGCTTGGTCCTTTGAACTCTCCAGTATGAAGTCCCTCAGGGGTCTGTCTTGTTCCCCATGCAGCATATAGCCACATGAAAGCACTGAGCGAGGTCATCTGGGAGTTTTGGAGCGCATTGTCATCAGTAGGCTGCTGACATACAGCTCTGTTTCCCCTTTTCATCATCAGTAAAGTGAGGCAGTGGATGTGCAGTATCTGGCTGCAACAATGTACTGGATGAGGTCTAACGAACTGGAGCTCAGTCCACACATGACTGAAATGCTGTTACTGAGTGGTTCTTCTAGCCAAATGGAAGGAACTCAACCTAATCTGGACAGTGTGTCACTCCTGAAGGAGCAGGTTCCTAGTCTGGGAATGCTCCTTTATCCATCTTTGTCATTTGAGGTTCCGGTGGCCTGGAGTGCCTTCTGTCAGCATGGGCTGGTGGCCCCCTAAACTAGACTATTTCCATGCATGCTACATGGGGCTGCCCTGGTTATATCTAGTGACAGTACTGCAGTTATGCAATAAGTTTTCCATGGGACTTGCCTGGGACCAACTCTGTTATCTTTTCAGCACTAGGTTAAAACTGTCCTCTGTGATGGGGAGTTTAATTAGTTTGCTGTTATATTGGAGCATTATGTCAGCTACTTAACAGTTCTTGTGCCTTTATATGACTAAGCTACTGTAGCTTTTTAAATTTGGTGTTAAATTTGGGTTTTAAGTTTTGTATTATAGTTTTTATTTATTTCATTTTATCTGTTGTTCAGCTATTGAGCAGTACAGAGATTATCACCACCACCATCATCATTATTAGTAACAACAATAATTTGCTGTATTCAGCACATTGCCCAGGAGCCCAAAACCCAAATAGCTGTTGCCACAGGATGCATTCAGAGACTAGGAATTCCACACATTTAAGTATCCAGGTACATTTAGGAAATTTCAGCCACTTCCGAATGTTAAATATATGGAGATTGGGAAGTGTTATGACTTTTTGAGAGGGCACAAACAGGCAATGTGTGGAGCAGTGAGTGGTTGTGAGAGGACAGAGCTCTGGGTGCCTACAGCCTACACTAAGCTAGGCTGCTGCACTCAGGCCCAGCAGAGGACCTAGCCTCATCACTCAGTTGCTGTTCCAGTCGGCTTCTCCTTGTGGAATATCAAAAGGGAGTTGTTGGCCTTACCTTGTCACTTCTCTGCAGTTAGTAACATGACCTGGACCAGTCCTGCTTAATCCAAACACTTAAAAATGACTTAAGTAGCAATTTGGACTTTTCAAAGTTTTATTGTCTTAAGCTGGAACTTTGTCTTTGTCACATAGGACTTGTGTCTGTTCAAGATCTTTCCCTTCCTTGACATGTTAGCTGTCCTTCTCCTGACCCTGAGATAGGACTTAAATAATTTATGATACAGCTACATGATCTAAATACTGACTGAGCTGAACTGGGATCCGCAAGAGTCTTCCAGCTCTCCACTCTCGGTCTCTCCCTCTCCCTCCCGCCTCTCTCTCTGGTTTCAAAATGAAAATGTAAGGAAATAGAATGCAGACCTGGTTACGTTAAAGAGTTGAGTTGTAAAATTAACCTTTGCCAGCATAAAGGAAAACCTGCATATAAATTGTTTATAGCAAACTTAAATTTACCCCTTTCCAAATGGGTTAATTATGCAGAATTTACTGCCGAAAGACAGGCTACTGGTATCTATTTAAGATTCTTCAAACAGCAAGTTTGTGAGCATTTTCTGAACTTTTCATGTTTTTAATCTATGTTCAGTGCTAGCAAACTGTTACAATTCTTAGGCACCCGTATTTGACTAAGAAATCGTTTTTTTCCAGCTCCACCTGTTATGTCTGTGAAATAGTTTTAACATTCCTGAAGGTATTATAGTAGGAGAGATGCAACTGAGGCTTTTTCTCAGCTCTTCTACCAAGTACAGAAAAATTCTGTAGCTCATTTTTGGACAGGTTTTAGATTGGAACAATATGAATATGCAAATTCATGATTGCCTCCTTATTCATTGAAAGGCCTTAACTAGTCATTTATTTAATTGGATGTTCCAGTTCCCATAGTGCAAGGAAAACTCAAAACAGCCTGGTCTGTCCCCTCTGTCAGCTGCTGCAATATGGTTTTGAGCTACATCTTCAGTGGCTTCATGTATCAGGTGACTTGGGCAGAGCTACCTATCTATGCCCTGTTCAGAATAAGAACTAATATATCCATTGCACTGTGTTTTCAAGGCACAGCATTTTGCCCTATGTTTTTGTTGGAAGGGGAGAGCATATTTTAATAACTTGGTATCTCCTTTTGTAATGATTTCAGTTTATTTGCTTTCATGACCAAATAAACAATTCTGTCCTGCAGCCATTTTGTATGTTTCCCTTTAATCTTACTGGAGTTTCATACACATACATAGACTAAAACAAAGGAAATCAAATCTAGACTGTGTCTTCAGATCTCTCCCTGTTGACATTGATTTATTTGGTCCTTGTTAATACAGGTAGGACTTGTGTTCCTTTTCAGACAGAGGTCTACATCTCACCAGGGAATAGAAATTGTGAAAGTATATGTTGTGCTGTTTCCCTCATTGGCATATGCAGCTGACTGAAGTGTTTGTATATTTTGTTTTTCAGAGCATAAGCCGCCTCTGACAACCACAGTTTCCATTGGAGGTGATCAGACCACAACAGTAGACTCTGTGGAGATGGCAAAAGTCCAGATTGCACCTCCTTCTCATCCAGCGCCAGTGCATCAGCCACCACCTATGCCTCACCGTCCCCCTCCCCCACCCCCACCCTCGAGTTACATAACCGGCATGTCCACTACCAATTCTTACATGTCAGGAGAAGGATATCAGAGCCTTCAATCAATGATGAAGACAGAAGCACCAACCTACGGAGCTCTGCCACCCAGCTATGGACCTCCTGCTCACTTGGCCTATCACCCCCATGTGTATCCTCCCAATCCTCCTCCTCCTGTTCCTCCTCCTCCACCAACATCATTCCCCCCACCAACAATCCCTCCTCCTGCTCCAGGATACCCACCGCCACCTACTTACAATCCGAATTTCCCACCTCCTCGGTTACCTCCTTCCCATGCTGTCCCACCTCACCCCCCTCCAGGACTGGGAATGCCACCAGCAAGCTACCCCCCTCCCACAGTGCCCCCTGGTGGGCAGCCACCAGTGCCACCCCCAATACCCCCACCTGGCATGCCGCCTGTTGCAGGACTTGGACGTGCTACTTGGATGAGATAGCGGTTGTGCACACGGTATCTTTTAATTTGGAGGAATAGTTTAATGAGTTGAGCAGCAGCTAAGGGAATAGTTTGTATACGGTAGAGACCGATGTATGAAAATCTAGAAGGCAGTGGCCTAAAATATTTACTGATCTGCTTACAGTTTAGTCAGCAGAGCTCAATACAGGCTTTAGTTTCAAGATTACAAAACTAGATAAAATCCAAAGTCTAAGTTCCTTCTAGCACTGGGTTACTTTGCACTAGTAAAAGGCCATATTGGCTTAGTTATATTGGTAAGAAAATTTGCTTCTAGAAATCAGTGCCTACTTTTTGAGTATCAGGATTAAGGTTATCATTCCATCTGAGGCAGATAAAAGACCTTTCTGGCTTTCATGACGTAACATTCCAGCAACATGCTTCTGAGCAACAGAACCAATTTTATTTTATTTAATATATATAAACACATACAACATTTGCAATCCATAGCTGATAAACATCTGTTGGTGTTTGCCTTTCTGCCATTTTTGTTTTAGAATGTACTTGAATCTTGATTTGTAAAGTATGTTTACACCTATGTATGAATTCCTTTCCTAATCATCTGTATTTTCTAAGTGTGAAAGTATGAATGTAATGGCATATGGTGATTTCCAACTTCATTTTTCTGAAAGGCTGTTTGCTGAGATGTAGCCAAATAAACCTAGGTTCTGAAATCCATTGAGTACAAAAGCATTTTTTTTAAATGTCTGAATAGATTGCCAGCTTGCCTTCAAAGGAATTTAGTAAGGAACCCATGCAACCCAAATGTTCACTTACTCAGATCTGATTGATTTGGAGTGACTAGATACAGATGAACATATGAACAGAACTCACTTCCTTGCATAGCGGGGCTACCGGGAATCTTCGTATCTTTGTGTCCAAGTATGAAGAGCTTGTGAAACTTTCAGATAAAAGAGGCAACTGTTTTGCACTGCTTGGAACAATAACCAGCTTGCTTCCAAATTGAGCTCTCCCATTAGAAAATCCAGGACCAATTTAGTACAAGAGAGCTGTAAGGAAAATGCAGGGTCAAAATCTTGCAGAAAAGTTGGGAGGCTGTTCAGAGGTGTAGTCCTATCGCTCCAGCCTTAATACATGTAAGTCTTCAATCTCAGAGGCTTATGTGCACGCTATGCCCCAAGAGAGGAGCAGTGGCCCCTCGCTTCCAGCTTTTTCTTTTATTCAGACAGCTGTTCTCAACAATCTAGAGTGCCTTAGGAGGGAAAGAGATGGGATGCCAGTAGGAATCAGCATCAATCCTTCCGGCTCTTGCCCTCCTGGCTTACCTTATTTTCTCCCCTATTCTCTCTAATTCTCAAGGGAGGCAGCCAGTATGTTTCTGTGGTATGCCAGTGGTGATGGAGCAGGATGGGAGTCCTGGTTCTGAGACAGGTCTGATCTTGGACCTAGGACTATTTGCCCTTCTCCCTTAAAAACACTGGAAGACCGTAAGATTACATCCTAAAACAGCTGTTGTAGCATACAAAATACATTAAAATATGCCAGTATTATTAAACAGGCTCCATTTAAAATTGAGAGTTTTCTAGGAGAAAGAAATAAGAGCATAAAGTCAACAAATGGGAACTTAATCTACAAATGGGGAAATGAAGGAGAAGCCTGATGACCAAATTGCTAAAAACAAGAGTTACATCCACAAGAGAACCAACTAGGAGGGCAATTAAACTTTATGACAAGTAGTTTTTGTTACTATTTAAAAGTCACTGCATGTGGTGGTATATTCTCAGGACAAGCTGTCTTTGAAGGTAACCAGTGGAGTTTTTTAAAAAATAATCTGGTGGTCATAGACAAGTTATTCTGTCAGCCTGACCTCTGTCCCAGGTAGTAACTAGGAAATACAAAGATTGGGAAAACTTCACAATGCAGTAAAAGAATTGGCAAAAGCTGTGCAAATTATGTATGAAGCCATTACAATCAGGGCCAGAGAAAGTTACTGTCGGTAACCCAGTGTAATGAGTGTGCACAGCACTTTCGAGGATAAAAATCACAGATTTGCCATTAATTGTTCCACAATTAAAGGAAAAGGGGTATCCAGAACACTGTCTAGTCCCATTTTGTTGAATGAGTTGCAGTTATTGAGTCCTAAGGATGTGGACAAGGTGCTTGGGCAAGTATGGCCCACCACCTGTATGCTTGACCATAGCTCATCATAGCTGATTACTAAGACCAAGGAAGGCATTCATACCTGGACCCAGGAGGCTGTGAAGGCCTCCCTGAGGGAAGGAGTGGTACCAGCATCTTTAAAAGGAAGCTGGGATCAAGCCATCCTTTTAAAAAGTCCAGCTTGAATGCAGGGGATGTGAATGATTATGGACCAGCTGCGAACATCCCTTTCCCGGACAAGGTGTTTGAAAGGGTGGTAGCCAAGCAGCTTCAAGCACTCTTGGAGGAAATGGATTCTCTGCATTCATTTACATTTGGTTTCAGGCCTGTTTTGGAACAAAAACTGCCTTGGTCACCCTGTAGGATGACCTTTACCAGAAGAGAGACAAGGGGAGTATGACTGGTCAACATGAATGCATCACACCAATCCGCTGTCAATTCCATAGGTTATCAGTTGAAGTCCAGGCCTGATTCACAGTGCTAACATTAACATTTAAGGCTCTGAAAGGGTTGGAGCCAGGTTGTCTTGAAGGAACATCTTCCTCCATATGTGCCTACCTGAACCCTGAGATCATCAGCAGAAGTCATTCTTGGAGAACCCTCTCCAAAGGCAGCCAGGGCGGTGGCTACTAGGGGAAGGGCCTTCTCGGTTGTAGCACCCCATCTGTAGAATCAGCTCTCAAAAGAGGTGCACCTGGCACCCACTCTTTGCTCCTTTCAGCAGCAGGTGAAAACCTTTTAACTTTCCCAATATTTTAATAGTTAAATTTTTATCTTCATCTTTTTCTCTATTTTTACTAGGCGGTAGATTATTGCAATATTGTATTTATTAATTGCATTGTTGTGAATTTATCATGTGGTTTTTTTTATTTATTTTTAATCTGTAAACTGCTCAGGGAGCCTTTGGGCTGATGGGCAGGGTAGAAATATAATAAGTTAAATATTTAACTGCTTGAGAAGCTGATGTAGAGCAAATGCATGGATATGTAAAATACTCTAAATTAAGGCTGCATATATTTGCAACAGTAAGTTTTATTTGGCTTGCAAATAATTTATTTATTTAAAGTATTTATAGACCTCCCCATTACTAGTGTCTTGGGACAGTTTACAACAAGCACTGATAAAAATTGCACAGCATAATATTGCAGCATTATGGTTACAACGCACAAACATAGCTCAACAAGCTGACAGTTCCTCTTTTAATGTCTCAAAGGACATTTGTAACAAAACAGAAAAAAATCTGGGGGAACAAGGCACAGATTTGACATGGTAATTATCAACATCCTTCAGTGTAGGTCAGAGCGTAGTAATTAGAGCACAAGGAAAACACAGTCCACATCTGGTTAGTTACAGGAACAGTTGGATATTGGATGGTTTTGAGCTTGGATGGTATCCTTGTTGGTCTGATGGGCCATTCTTTTATTCTGAATGATAAGCTGCTCTTGTTTCAATATTGTCACACTTCCTGCATTTACATGAATCTGCTAGAGACACTCCAGTGGAAATACAGAGCACGTGCTAGTGCCGGACCCTCCATTTAGTTATTTCGTTGTTGCTGCATCTTCAGGGTGCTCTTATGCATTGGGCATCCAGGTGATGGCCAAGTAACACTTCTTTTGCATCCAGCCACGGCCAAAATGGAAGAAAGATTAATATCCTTGCCATCCAAAGACTACTTCATTAGAGTACCCTGACAATTTGGTAGTGTTGCTATGCAGAGTCTCCATCTTGGATTGGTGACATGGTTTTCCCAGGAAAGAGGCTGGCACTAAGAAAGCCTCTTCGTTCTGACTTGTTAATCCTCATGACTGCACTGATATTGTGATTGTCCTGTGTAGATATTTTTTATCTTAAATATTAAGATATTAAATATTAGATAGATACTATATTTTCTGATAGCTTGCAAATGCTCATCCTTCCTCTTAGTGGCTGCAACTTTCTCTGCTGAGTGAGGGGGCAATAAAGATGAACTTTGCCAAGCAGCCCTCCTCCTATGGACTCCTAAAATCCTCTAAAAACTTGAGAATATAAGAAAAGCCATGCTGGATCTGACCAAAGGTCCAGCACTCTGTATACTCGTACATGGTGGCAAACTAGCTCCAGCAGAATCTCTCAAGCCAGATGGGTGCAAGGCCTTCTCCTGTCCAAGCTCCTCAGGAACTGGGGTATGCAGGCAGGCCACCTCTGGCCCAGGAGAGGGCACAAAGCCAGTAAGGCTAGTAGCCCCCAATAGCCTTCTCCCTCATGAATCAGTCCAATGCCCTTTTAAAGCCATTCGTATTGGTGGCCATCCATGTTCATCTAATAGAATTGAGAGATGTATCTTCATCAGTTTAACACTTCCATACTTACAGCAGCTCTTTGTGCTTAATGAATCTATTTGGACTAACAGGTTCATGTCTGGTCTCGGGCCATTGGACCCATCCTCTGCCTGGCACCAGGGATCAATAGTATTATCACCTGCTAATGACCTACACATGCCAGCAGTGACTTGCTGCCAAATCCCAGAGCCTCCAGGCCCAACGGCTCCTCTCGGTTCCTGCTCACCAGCCCACACGAAGAATGCAAGCTGCGAGGGGAGACTCTGCTACCCTCCCCAATCAGCCTGCCCTTGTCCATCCAGGCATCTGGGTGAACTGGATCCGGCACACAGGCTGTGCTCGGGGATGGCCCACTGGAGTGCTGCATCCTTTACGGAAAGACGACTCAGGGCTGCCACCAGCCTTACCTCCCTCCTGTCCAGGTGCAGGGACCCTGATGGCCACTGTTGTGTTGGACCATCTGGATCAGATGGCTTTTGCTCTCCTGCGGCCTTCCAGCCTCAATCATAGAAGCATAGAATAGCAGAGTTGCAAGGAGCCATGAAGACCATTGAGTCTAACCCCTGCTGTTGCAGGACAGCATATTACCCCACACCACTCAGATGGCTGTCCAGATAGCTCGAATCTGTCTTCCTAAGGATTTGTTTCCTTGAGTCGAGTGCCTTCCCCTTCCATGTCCATGCAACCCTTTTCACAAATAAGGATGCCCCTTGAAGGCAGAGTTTTTCAAGGGCACACCCAGAGAGACTTTGGAGCAAATGGAAATCCAAGCAATTTTCTTCTGGGACAGACCTAGATGTTTTTGGAGCAAATGGAAATCCAAGCAATTTTCTTCTGGGACAGACCCAGATGTTTTCAGCACCTTGCACTACCCCGACCTCGAGAGAGATGGTGTATGGAGAGACAACCTCTCCCAATAATGGTGGGAAACAAGTGGGTGCATTCAGGGAGGGAGGCCCACGCAGGATCGTGTGTAGGCAGGCAGGAAGCAGGAGGAAAGCTTGATCCCAGCCTGGGTGGGACTGCCCCTTCTCTTCCTTGCTGCCTCCTGGTTTCCTGTATCTTCCATCTTCCCTGCTGGAGGAGACAGATCCTTCTTGCCAGAGCTCTGACTTGATCACCTACATATCAGGGCATTAACACTAGACTCTAGAGTCTAGAGGGAACTTTCTCTCAGTGCAAATCTATCTAAACTGATTTTTTGGTTGCCTATAAGAGTGGAGCCCACTGCATTGCCTTAGAGGTTTGGGATTTCAATTGCAAACACAGCACAGGTGGGAAACAGTTAAAGCACGCTGACACTCCATTCCATTGCAATTTTTTCTTTAAAGCCTGCACAGGATTGCTCTGCTACAGATTTGAAAGTGCCCCAAAGGATGGAAAGCAGTTAATAGCCCATGTGAAATAAGATGAGGGTAACATTCAGATGCAAGTTTCACCAGCATGAAGGTCATGATGATCTTTCTCCATCCAAACCAACTTTGTAAGTACACCTTTGGCTGGAATAAACCAGGATTATAAACATCAGGTTTAGCATAAATCATAATTTCATCCTGATCTGCAAACATTCTAATCCCAGTATAGTGTAATCCTAGCTGGATCTACTCAAACTATGTCCCAGAGTTCAGTGCAGCTTACTCCTGGGGAAGTGTGCCATAGGGTAGCTGTCTTCAGTTCAAAAAGAAGAATCCAGACATGTCACTGCTCACTTACAAAGAACATGTTTTATTTTCTTCAACTGAATGTATACACTATCACAATCTCTTACTTTAATTTTTACTAAAATATTTCAAATTAAGGTTTTACACACTTATCAAAAAATCTGCTCACATTTTCTCCCCATCCCCCCAAAAGCAAGGTGATTCAATAAAAGGTATAAATGTGTGCTAAGATCTAAAGACATCGCTTATATACATGAGCGCAGGTGCTAAATTCTTCCATTTCTATTTGTCAGTCATATACAGAAAATATAGTGGGGTTGTAAAATCACAGGTTTAACAGAAATCATAATTTCATATTGATTTCCCAAAGCAGCACAAATAGACTCTTTTCCCACATTATGAAAAATATACAATTTTATCACTTTACAGCCATGCACTATGTTTGAAAAAGATCAGTAGTACTTTTCCCCTCCACACACACCAGTTTTTAAAAAGTTTAAAGGTCACTTAAAAACACTGTGTTGGATCCAGATTTAGCCATACTTAGAACAGACCTACTAAAATTGGTGGGACATAAACTCACGGCTTAACTTATTGATCTCATTCAAAGCATGACTAAGTCCATGTTCAACCCAATGATTTTTTAAAATCGCTTTCATTTGGCTAAAAACATGCCTTTTTGAAACAAACTTGTGCTCTTTTTTGTTACAAAGGGACAAGGAGCACGATATTTTTTCTTACCACAATTTGCTCTTTTTTCCCTTAAAAGGGAAAATATTTCAATTGCTCAGAAATAAAGTGGCAGTACAGTGGAAGAGCCAAGAATACTTTTGTTCTGAACTTTCAAAGCATATTAAACTTCAGCCGAATGCTTGTTTTACGACAGAAGAGCATTCAAGATTTTCTGGTCGATTTTTGAATCCACCCTTCAGAAAGGGTTTCTGGTGCCCCGTTGTATCCATGTGCCCCTTTGCAGTCTTCTATTTAAGGGTCACCAAAAGCTGTCCAGTCCCAACTTAAAGATAAAGAACCCATAAATAGTTGGCACCTGGACAATAGATTGAACAGACAGGCACACACATCAGCGGGTCTTCCACTCCAGGGTGAGATGTACCATATTTCAATTAAATTATTTTAAAATTTGCATCCATATGCATAAATTAGCACATGCACATTTAATGCAAATTGGTACTCTCCTTTTTTGGTGATGCAGGTCTTTTTATTGGCAATTCATAAGTGTCCACTTAAACGTTTGCACCAACCCCATGGCTTTCCCCCATCTAAATTAGGTTATTGAAAGAAAGGAAGCTGGAGGAAAACAAGGAGTGGACTTCCGTACGGAAGCGACTGGTGAGCTCAGTTCTGGTACTGAAAACCTACATCTAGACCCAGAAAGTGCTCAGAAACACCCTACTCTTTAACTCTGTAGGTACATCTAATGCCCCTGGGTCTGTCTGCAGCATCCTGGAGTTCTAATAAGAGAAAATCAAAGCCAATCTGACAAGCCTGAAGTAGCTCCATTCGAACCCAGTTCTAAGGATATAAAAATCTGGAAATCACTGTCCACAGCAAACTGTAATGTTGAACTACGCATTTTAATGGGTGCTATTTGGGGAAAGGAGGGGTTGTTACTCCAGTTTAATATGCAATCTTTCAGGACATTTTCTCTTTCCACCTTAGTGTACTGTGTGCAACTTGCAATTAAAAAAATAATAGACAACTGAAACTTTAGCACCCAAGGCATACTGTAAAGTCATGGAGAGCACAGTCCTATTGCCCTGGGCCAGGTGCAACAGTGTTGCTCTCTACTGCTGCCGTGCCTCACAGGTATTTTCTCTAGAAGGCCATTTTTTACCATCTAGATTTAGTGCGGAGAGGCAGAGCGAAGGATGCCAGGGCACCAATTGGATTTGGTGTAAGTCCATAGACTCAGCCTCTTCTCCCTGTCCCAGCACACACTTTCTCCCTCTCCAAGGCCCAACTGCAACCTCGGGAACAGGGTAGCTGGCATGGTCTTTCTGAGCCAGTTGCAAAAGGGCAGGGCAGGGCAGGGCAGGGCAGGGCTTCAGTCTTTGGAGTCCCAGCTCTGAGATCACAAGACCTTGGAGCACTGTCTCTGAAGAATCCTACGGCCTCCCAGACAATGGTGGGAGGCCATAGGAGTGTGCCGAGTCTCCTTTTCCCCGCCAAGGAAGACGCTCATTTTAGCTCAGTTCAAGCTAAACATTTAGTAGCAATGAAGAACAATGAAACAAAAAACATATAGCACTACACCTGCAAACTCTATAACACATAAGTTGCATTTGGGCATACATTATATTTTCATCAATGAAAACAGAAGTTTTTTCTTTTTGCAAATATGACCATGGAGTTACAAACTATTTACTTTGGAGTACTTTGTAATTTATTTAATGTTATTTAGATAGGGCTAGTTGAATACATGTAATTTGTGCCATTCCCACTTCAGTGGTTTTACTTAAGCTGGTCCATCTTCTGATTTTATTTAATTATTTGGAAGAGGGTTCAGTTAATTCCCATGTCACAGTTTGGTTTTATAATAGATACTCCTCTTGTATTTATTTATTTATTTATTTATTTAAACAAATACACAAAATGTGGGTTCAATTTAGTGGTTTCCTTGGTTTGTTGGGTGCCCAAGCAATCAATGGACTGAGAAAAAAATCTAGTTGACCAAAACATCTGGACTGAGATCCCAAGAGACACACCCAAGAACTTCCAAATGTGTATTGCATGTGTCTGAATTTGCCATTTCAACTGCAACTGCTATTCTACTGCAAGCTGTCCAGGAAGGACTTTTGAATTTCCAGAGGCAGCTTTTCAGAGAATGTGAGGGACTGCAGGTGAACCAGGAATGAGAAAGCTCAGACATTCCAAATTATACAGGCGAAACTTTGCTCCAGCTCTTTAGTTATTTGCCCTTTCAAAGGCAGCACAGGCTGTGTCCAGTGCAGGCACAGACCAGACCAGAGCTGCTGCATTATGGCCCTTCAAAACCATGCCCTGTGCACATTTTGGATCCTGCTGGGTGCTTTATAACTTCTGAGCCTGTTTGCAGTGGTGCTCAGATCTGTGAAGAACAATCATTCAGTGTTTCCTGGCTCATTTCATGTTTCTCTTGGGGATGAAACACATCTGGCTAAGCAACTGCTTGAATTTATCAGCAGCACAGTGCCATGGTGGTATAAGCACTGCAGCCCATAAATTTTGCTCCTTATCACTTAAAAAGGCTTCACGCTATCCCAGGGATGGGTCACAGCTGCCATTAAAATGGTTTAGCAAATAGGTGGCTCAAAACAAGTCGATGTAAATCTTCGAACATCCAAAGGATACAGAGGAATAGAAGAGAGGAGAAGACAGTTGGGAAAGAATGCAATTGATGGGAAATAAAAATGAGAAAATCCAGGAATATTACAACAAAGCTAGTGATTTACAAACAATAAGTGGTTGGTGGACAACAGCACTGAACATGGCAGGTAAGAGGCATGGTTGCTTGCATCGCACTCTTGCCTCTAGAAAGCTAGTTGTGCAGAATTTGTTTTGATGCTGGTTCCAAAACCCCTGCAAAACCTGCTTGACCAACAGAGAGCTACCTCATGACTTGCAGCTCTGAGAAATTATTGTCTATCTCCGTCCAATTGAATCAGAATGAAATCTGTGGATGTTATAAGATCAGTTTTAAATTAAGTTCTCCTTCTGTGTCTTGGCTGGATTTGACTGGTTTGTATAAAGAGAAAGACATACAATAATTAAGGCTTGCTTTCAAGCACATCATTTACTGAAAGCTTTGCATTTGTCCCAGTAAGATGTCTGTTTGTGGGTTGTTGGGGCAAACTAGATAGAAGAGGAAGGAGGGTTTGCACTTGGGTTAGATCCAGATTTAGACATATTTAGAATGGACCCACTGAAATCAAAGGGACTTTGGTTGGTCCTGACTTTAAGGTCAAAAGTAAGACATATTTGTAAACAAAAAAGCAGGGAGCACGCTTGGGGTTGTTCCAGTCATATTTTTGTGGTATACGATCACTACTTGTCTCCAAATGTTTGGATACTTGCATTTTGCATCAGCATTTTATGTGTCACCCTCAGCAAACATGACACATCAATGTGCAGGCAGTAAAGTCATCTCTTGGAGGATTGTGTTGCCAAGGCTGAAGCACAAGAAGAAGCAATGGCCAATTGACACTGGCCTTCATACAGGAAGGTAACTTTAAAGGTGTGTGGAGAAGTTTCTGATTATCCAGTGGTTGAAGAGCAATGTGGGTACTTAAACAGATGACACTCTAAGAGAAACCAACAGAAATTCAGCCAACTAACTGAACCAGCTGTAAGTAGCTAAGCCAAAATTCTATGAGTCAAGGTCACAACAGCCGAAACTGTGACATCTTCAAACTAATTACAAATCTCAATGCAAATTTTCTGAGGGTATATGAATCCTCGTAAAAGTTCCTTCACACAAGTGAGAAGATTGCCAGTTGTGTGTTCTGCTGTACAAGTTAAGGAAATCAACAAATACCTAATGAGATGAGGTGGGATGGAGCCAGGATAGGCAATCAACATCTTTGGCAGGTTACAAAAGAGCTGCTTGATATAGTAATCGAATAGGCAAATAGCTTACCTGTAAATGTTGTTCTTCAAGTGGTCATCTATGCATCTCCTTCGACTGAACAGACTCCATGCGTGCAGAGCCCGTACGTGTGATGCGCAGAGACCACAAAGAAGAACCGAGCAAACCCATGTAATATGAAGCAGTTCCAAGGAGAGAGACTTGATTTGGTTGAGTGGTTGAATGAAAGCAGCATGTCTGAAGACAGACTTTCCTTTGGCCAGCTTGAATGGCTGCTGTTCTGGTCCCATTTTCAAAGAACCCATTCTGTGTGTTAGTTCGCTGAGAAGTGACTGTTGAGAATGATGGGACAGAACACACTGCGCCCACCACTCTTCCCATCATGTCAGCAAGCTAAATTATATGAAAGACTGAAGAAATGGACCTTTCTGTTTAATATTAAAAAGTCTGGGCAACACGGACAGTGCAGGGCCAGTCCACATGGATTTTTTTGCAACAAGACATTAACATCTGAATAAACACACACAGAAGCAAAAACAAACCTGGCAACACAGAAGCAAGTATTCCCACACGCAGGGGAGGGGCGATGCAAAGGAAGACCAGGCTGCTGAATCTTTTGGCTCTCTTGATGTTACTAGACTGCAACTCTCATCATCCCTTACCATTGGCCAGGTCTGGGGAGAACTGCAGCCCAAGAACAGCTGTAGGGCCACGGTTTCCCCTCTCATGTTTACAGTAGTGTGAATAGTGGTGTAGAACGTAAAATACTGGCAGGTACCACTGTACATACTGAACCAAGACCAATTCCAGTTCTGAGCAGCCTTTGAACAAGATTTGTTGGATGGGGGGCCCATTGGGTTGCCCATTTCCTCTCGATGCAAGCTGCAGCACCTCCCAGAAAGAGAGAGTAGGAAAGCTACAGAAGCTACCTCTCCTTCTTGTCACTGCTCACTCAGAGAGGGCAGATGACCTCGCAGCAACAGCGAGAAGGAAAGTAGGACACCTAGAAGTGCCTGGAATTGGCCATGGAACCCGGACAAGTGTGGCCTCATCAAGTAACCAACAAGGATAATCCTTGATACCTGCCCCAAGCCTGGTTCTCCTTTGCAACAATCACCCTGGTCACCATCCGTCATAGACCCAAGTTGCATTAAAGGCCCATGGTTCCCATGGTTGCCCAGTAACAGGGAAAGAGCATGGCAATGCAAGTTGTGTCTATACCCTTCAGGCAAGGGGCTCACCAGAACATGGAAGTTGCTGTAGGCTAGTCATTTGGAATACGTATCACATCCCCAGGATTCATGAATATTAGGCAGACCTGGAGGAAAATGAATATGCTTGGGGCCTATCACATTGAGAGGAGCCCACCAGCCAGGGGCTGTGGCTTATCAAGGCCCTGGCAGATTCATATCCATGGCTGGAGGATTTGCCTCTCCTCTTACAAGCCACACAGCAACCTGGAACTGGCCCTCAAAAAGTGTTCTTAATGCTAGGTAAACTATCTCTGATAGGACTAATTATCTCAAGTGGAAAGAAAGAAAGAAAGAAAGAAAGAAAGAAAGAAAGAAAGAAAGAAAGAAAGATGCAGGTTTCATGTTTTCCTTGGTATTTTCCAAAATCATGCTGCAAGGGGCTGCTGCACTGCGATGCATTAGCAGGACGAAGCAAAGGAGTTTAACTGCTCCATAGGCTAAGGTCCCCTGTTTCTTTGCCCTCCTAGAAATTCAGTCGGGTTCAGGTATTTCTAAATATGACCATCCAACAAAGCAGGTTTTCACTACAATACAAATGACACAAATTGGCCATTGGAGGACAGTTATTATTAACCCATGTAAAATTGTTCCGGTCCAGCCCAGCCTACAGACTAGGCCTTTAGCTGCCTCATTACACTATCAACAGCTACAGGAAAGTTGGAAAAATAGATAACCCTGGCAGCTAGAAGCAGAGAAGTCTGTTTCTCTCATTCTTTTCACTCCCAGTCTTGTGATGTGAGGTTCTTATAAGGGGCCCTTGAACTGGTTTCCCGAAAGATGCTGCCTGATCGAAGGTTTGGAGCTTGCGGCATCACCCAGTTTTCGCCAGACGACCTATGAGGCAAAGGGAAACACAGGTTACTGCTGGTAAACTAAAATTACAGTTTTAGTTGTAATAGTAAAAGAAGTACTATTACAGCTAAAGCAGTTGATTCCTGGCCACCTCATCCTGCCCCCACCATTGAGTTATGCAATTCCTCTTCTTGGCACTAGGTGGCCTCCGTCCCCCAAGATAATGTTTGTTGATGGATTAAAAGGGTTAATCTTATTAAAGCCTCTAGAAATTAAAAGCAGAGACATGCCTTAGGTAATGGTATCAAACTGGTAAATTAGGCTGAGAATTTGAGTTCAGTGCTAGGTCAGCTGCTGGCAAGCTTAAAGAACCCCTGTTCTCTTCGTTAAGCACCAGACTCCAAGTGGTGGTGGCCAAGGTGGGAGGGAAAATGTAGCTCCATCTCAGACGCATTACAGATGTATGAGTGCACTCACGTTCCGCCGGAACGTGAAGGGGTCTGCTCGTGGACAGAGCTTCTGCCTGATTTATTTATTTATTTATTTATTTTATTCCACTTCTCTGCTGCCCCATAACCCAAAGGTTCTCTGGGCAGCTTACAAGCACTGGAAACAGCATATGATACAGTTGATAAAACAATTAACCTCGATTTTTCAGGATCGATTCCTTACCACTGCACCACAGCTCACCGAACGTATCAGGGTTCCCCAGCCCTTTGCACAGCATGATCAGCAGGCCCGAGAGGCTGGCATGGAGAGGAGGACGTGGGGGACGCCTGGTTCTTTGGGCTTAGTTGCACATGCCTAAACGTGGCTCCGACCCCGTGAAGGTTAATGCAAAGCAGAAGCACAGCAAAGCTCTGTGGCTGGTTCCAGGTCCCTGTGCCTGCTGAGCGTGGGGCCTGGAACCACCCCTCTCCAGGAAGGCACCAGAGAAGCCATGTCCTTGGCTCAGCCTCCTCACTAGGTCTCCCAAGGATGAGGCAAGAGGGAGGCTGCTTTGCCAGGGCTGTGCCAATCCCGTGTTCAGACTGATAAACCCTCTGAACTCCAGGCTCAGGAAGCCACCCAAGCATGCTGTTGCATCACCTCTGATAAGGTATGTCTGGGGAGTCCATTTCAAAATGCAGTAAATGAGGAAGGTGCTGCAGCATTGCTTGGAAAGGTTTTATTGTAAATTCTGAGCTAACTTTTTAGACTGCTCAGACAACATTTTTGGGTTAAAGGCATCATTTGAGCCATGGTCCTTGAATTCCACCTGAAAGCTACCTATTTCAAAGGGCAGGTGAATTTCAGTGCCGGACAACCTTGAGCATCCCACAAAGTTTAAGGTCCCACAGGGGTCTAAACTGAGTCCTTGCAACACTGGATGCAGCACTTGGGGTACAAGAACCACCTGCTTTTCGTTTCCGACTAGTTTTTTGGGACAAGTCTTTGTTTTAACTCTTAGTGTGAGAAGAAAAAACCTTCCCATTTACCATGGTGAGCTTGAAGAAACAAACAGGGCTCCTTCATACATCGTGTTGCTGCCTCTGGCTATATGCCATGTGGCATCCCACAAACCCACAATATTCGCATTTACCAGTGTTCTTGGTTTTCCACCTTGCCAAAAGCTTCTACATTAGACCAACTCCCATAGGACAGTATGGAGTTACAACCCTAAATGCTACTTCAGCTGACCACAAGCTTCGTGTGATTATGCCCTTCAGCTTCTCCAAGCATGCTTGTGGGGATTTCTTTCATGGGAACAGGCCCACAATAGTGGGAGGGAACAGACACACAAACCGGAGTACTTTGAGACTAAGATTAAATCTTAACTGAACTTACTAGGGATTGGAAGCAGTGAGGCTTACTTCCAGATAGAATGGCAAGGGGCTGGGCTGCAGAGCTGTATCCGTACAAGCAACTTACTCATGAGGAGCACTTTTCACCCAATATAACATGGCTCCAAAGAAAACATGTACAGGAGCTATTGGAAATTCTGCTCACTCTGTGGAGCCTTTTTTGTTGTTGTTGTTGAAAGAAGACTCTGAATCACAAAGGTCTTCTTTTAAAAAAAACAAGCTCCTGTGTTGCTTTTGAATGTGTTAGATACAAAGCTTTAAAGCAGCATTGATCTCTTTAGATGGCAGCCCACAATTTTAGCAAACATAAAACACACAGGACTGAGCTATTCATTTCTGAGTATGCAAAGAAAGGTAGGTTGCTTACCTTTAACACTGTTCTTTGTGGTCACCTGTGCATCACACATATGCATGCACACAGAGCCCATATGTGGACAGGTGACCGTGAAGAAGAACTAATCTTTTCAATGAAGGAATTTCATTTCATACTCCCCTTGCATTACTCCAGCAAAAAAGTGAGAAACAGTTTTCTGCTACTCTTCCTCCCTCCCTCCCTCCCTTGTCCCTGTCTCAAGAGACAAGGAAATGCCACTTCTCTGTCATCTGCTTCCTCCTTCTTCCAGCAACACTGCAATTTAGTTTTACACAGAGTGACAGGAAGTGATTGCTGTGTGAGCTTTCTGTTGGTGACAACAGCCAAGACCTGAAGAGAAACAGATGTGCAGAGTGATAGCCATTGGCGACTCCACATCTGGCAGCTGGTGGGAAAGCAGAGAGGCACGGGCTTAAGAGCAACTTAGGAGAGGGATGGGGGTCTGCCAAGCCTTCACGAAAGGGCTAAGCCTGATTTCAGCCTGGACAGCAAAGCACTGGGATTTGAGCTGGTGCTTTTCCAGCTAGAAGTAGACTGTGAGGAAGACTGTGAGGCTCTTTTCCCTTTGGGAGTGAAAACACTGTTTTCTGCAGAGACATGCATTCCCTTGAGGGCATTCTGTGGGGGGAAGGCATGCCTGAGGGGGTGAGGCTGATGGCAAAACTGGGAAGGGGCACCCCTTCTCTTTCTCATTTGTGAGAGCCACCCCTTTTGCCTGGGTCTATATATTGCAATAGCCAATACTCAAGGATTTGCTATGAGTTGAGTATGAGTTATCATGAACCATGGCCTTGTGTTAAAACATGGGTTCTTGTGTTGTCTGAACCCAGCTGAGATGACAAAGCATGGTGAACAACCCACGATTCACAACCCAACAAGTCCATGTTTCAGGGACAACCCACATACAACCTTGAATGTGGGTTTTCATGTTGTCTGAAGTGGCTTTCTCCTTTTCTGCCATCCCCTCACACCTCTCTCTCTCTCTCTCTCTCTCTCTCTCTCTCTCTCTCTCTCTCTCTATCCTTTTTCTCACTCATTCCCTCATCTCTTCTATTCTTCTGCTACTCTCTCTTTCTTCCTTTTCTAGCTCACACTCTTCCTGGCATACCCTTCACTCTCTTTCTAACATCTCTCCATTTCAAAAATAGGCCATGGATGAGGAGCACACAGTGCTTGCCAGAGGTCGGAACTGGTGATTTAACGTGCCAGGTCCTTCTGTCATTGGCCAGTCCATGTCAACGCTTCCCCTGTCTTCACCTCTGCCCCCTGCCCTGCCCTTCTCCCCCCCCCCCCCCCCCCCCCCCCCCCCCCCTCAAACCCCCCCCCCCCCCCCCCCCCCCCCCCCCCCCCCCCCCGGCTCTCCCCAGCTACATTAAAACAGGCCTGGGGCTGCAGGCCTTCCGGGAGCACAGATTCCTACTTTTGCTCTACACCACAGATTTTAGTAGTTCTGGTATGGAATGTTTTATGAATTCTCATAATTTCCAGCATTTGAGATGGAAAGGAACCATAGCCCAGTACAAATACCCTCTGAAATCTGGGTACACGTATTTGAAGTGCACTAAAGGTCTTAGCCACTTACACACATCCAGGCGGACACAAGAATAGAAGTACAGGCTGTGTCCTACATACACTCAAGGCATAATCCTATGCAAGTTGAGACAGAGAAAAGGCCTGCAATTCCCTGCTACTCCCCTGCTTGCTGAGAGCTGTAGGCCCTTTTTGTCTCTAAATGTGTACAGGATTGTGCCTCTAACTGGGAGCTGGTCCTACTGAATGCAAGTTCTACTGTGGTGCATTGTCAGTAGCTTTGTGACACCGTTGTCTGCAGGCTGCAAAAACAGCAAGCAAAGAAGCCTGCACAAAGAGAACTGAGCCCCACAAGGCATTGGACAGCAGTGCTAACGCCACAATTGGGAGCAAATGGCTGAAATGCGAAACACGGTGAAAATGGATTCATTACATTGCACATTTCACGAACAATTGCTTTCTCCTTTTCACTCAGGTCTTCTTCATAGTTTTCCTGAATTTGTCTGTCCAAATTCTCATGGACTTCAAGGACCTACAGACAAACACAATGGACATGGAATTATAAAATGGCATCACACGACCAAATCACTAAAGCTGCAAATGATACAGCCTTTGTCCAGCTTTCTAGAAGGACAAACAAAGCAAAATGTCCGCATGCACACACACACACACACACACACACCACAAAAGGAAAGGGTGACATGGAAGTTACACTCTGCCAGCAAAATGTTATAGAGTGCCATCTAAATCTTTCATCCACATATATCAGCTAAGCAGTTAGTATTGTGGGATTTCCAGAAAGGCACACAGACCGCGAACTAAACTCCGCAACTAAACGTACAAAAGTTCAGTGGGTCCTCAGCAGTTCCTGCCCATACAGCTGTGAAGCCATATGGCTCCTAACATAGAAGAACGGAGCATCAGTCGAGATCACTAAATGTGGTGTCCCAGGACTGCAATCCTCAACCAAGTTCAAAGCCCACAGTTAGGGTAATGGAAATCACGGAACAAAAAAGTAATGGAATACTGAGGGGCTGTGAGCAATAAGCCCCATCAATATGCAACTCCTTTGAATATGAATGGAGAGCCAGTGTGGCATAGTGCTCACAGCAATGGACCGGACGCAGGAAATCTGAGCTCTAGCCCCTCCTAAGCCAAGAGACTCACTGGGTGACGTTGGGACAGTCATGGACTCTCAGCCCAACCTACCTCACAGGGTTGTTGTGAGGATAAATTGGAGAGGAAGAGAATGCTGTAAGCCACCCTGGGTTCCTTGCAGGTGGGGAAAGTTGACTATAAATGCAATGCAACATTATATCTCAGCCCCTTTCATTTCACTTGTGGCAATCATGTGTGCGCTGCAGTTCTTGGATTTTGGGGCAGAGTCTGTTGTTACTTGCCTTCAAGTACTGTCTATTTGGATTTTATCCCATGTGCAACATGTACATGTACACTCAGTAACAAAACTTGGGCAAGACTTTTGAATGCATATTAAATCCAGTACTTTGATTATAGCAACTGTGTGTTGCTTGGACTGGATCTGAGTCACAGCTGTTGTTTTCACTTGCAAACCCATCTCTCCTTAGGGGTTATGTCCAACTGAATGTAGTGAAATTTACTTCTGAGTAGTCATGCATCAGCTTGCACAGACTGGCTGGGCACACCAGCAATTTGACTCAGTTTCTCCTGCTCCAAATTATGTCCGTATAAGTAGCCACAGCAAATCCCTTCCAACAGATGACAGTAAAAAGAGGGGCCCGTTGAGTAGTTAGGGAAGGGCCCGGCCTCCAGATCCTTCATTTGGATCCCCAGATATGCAGGAGACCATCTGCTCCACCACCCTGTTCTCCTGGAGTTCTTGCTGAAATAAAGAGTCAGGGCCCTGGGTCACCCGGCTTTTACCTCCAGGTATTTCATCTCTTCTTGCCCTCTTCCCTTGAGTCTTCTCTTTTGAGGGTAGCTTTGCCCTCCTCTCCCCTAACCATATATCCATTTTTACCAATAGGACCATCCTTTGGAGACTAGGTCCTTTAAAGACACACACACAGAAATACTCTAGAGCAGTGATTCCCAAAGTGGGCAGTACTTTGGGAATCGTTGTTGCCCAAGAGAAAAAGGGGGCAGCATCTCAAAAAAGTGTGGGGACTGTGCTTTAGAACATGTGTTTCAGATCCTTGAAAGGAAAAAGGTGGGATAATAATACTCCTAATAATAGGTAAACCAACACAGGCAAAAACTGCAGACTGAGTCCCAGACTGTTTTGATACCTAGTGCTGCCCCTGGCTGCAGGTTAGAGGCAGAATATGCAGAATGTCCTCCTCTGATTCCCTCATCCCCTGGCTAACAAAGACCTCTGTTTGGAGACCACTTGCCAGTCAGAAGAGGGGCAAGCTGGGGGTTGTAGGATTTCTTTCTGCCCAAATGTGTACAGGACTGCACTCCAAATCTCAGACTTTAAAAAAAAATAACAAAACACTGCAACCCAAAGAAACCTCATGCACGTTATAATCCAGAGTGAAAAATCCTATTGTTTTTTCCTTGATGGGACACCACTGCAATGAATTTTGCTTAGTCTGGTTCATATGCACAAAGTTCTGTGTAAAATTACATAAATGCTTAATCAGGTGAGATGTTTTTCAGAGCTAAATTTTACTTTCCATTGAAGCTCTGCAGATTGACCGCTCATAACCAGAGTGATGCTGCTTTTTTTCCCTGCTGTGTGTTTAAAGTCTTGGTTATAAAAGTAGGTCATTCTCTTAGGGCCCTTAACCTACTTTAAAAACTGCATTACCCACTAACTTAGCTGACATACTTTGGACTAATGGCAAGTTTGCATGACTGCGTGGCTTTGCTTAAATTAATTCAATCCATCTGCTTTTCTTTTTCAAGGAAGAGAGGAATACAAGCGGAAGCAAGAGGGATTGCATGGCTAGCAAATAAAACTAGATCTCTGATGAAAAGTTAAGAATTAATTATTGATCCCATGGGATGCAGACCATGGAAACGACTCATTTGGCCCTCCTATGCTTGTGATACTCAGCAGCCTGGATAATCAAATCTCAATGCGCAGCCCCAGAAGCACTGGGTGTCTGGACAGGGTAAATGTGCAGAGCTAGCCGGGGTGACTTAATTAACAATCGCCTGTAATCCAGGCTGATCTCCATCATGCTTTTCTGCCAGCGTGAAACTCCAGTAAGCTGAAAGTGTGGTCTGCCATTGAGAACTGGTGCTGTAACAGCTGCAGGAAAAAGGGACTCTTTTGGCCAACATTTTGGTGGCAAGACTGATTTTTGGCCTCTAAATTAAGCTATTTTTATGGCTAGCACCATTACAGCACCAAATTTCAGTGGTGAGGCAAAATGCAAGGCCAGCTGCATGTTACCCATCCTTCCTTTAGCAGTTGCAAGACACTCAGCAGTGAAAGTTTTCAATGCAATGCAACATTAGAGGCCTGGCGATTCAAAGCAGAATTCTGGATCTGGGAGAAAAAAGCTGGTTCGAGCAGCTGACTAAGCTCTGTCTTGGGATTGCTGCACATACTCATATCCTGAAAGATTATCCATATGCCCTAGGGACTGGTGCATTACAAAGGGCTTTTGAAGCGCATTGAGACTTCTAATAATGAAAACTATGGTCCTTGGGGGGTGATACAGATACATCTATATAATGCTTCAGCTCTGCACACATGGGTGTACAAGTCAGAAGATTTGGTTCACAATGATTTTGATTGCCTCCAACAGAAGGTTTTTTAAGGTGAGACTGAAGAATGCAATTTTTTCTGGGTGACCAAACAACAAGGGTTAGTTATGCAGGTTCTCTCAGAGAAACCCAATATGATCAAAAATATAAAATAAGCCTCTTTCAACAAGATCAGAAATTGTAAAGATAAGCCTGGGGGCAGATGTTTTGACACAGATGTCCTAAAAGGAAGTGTGTGGCCATGTACAAAAAGTAACTGATGGTTTCCTGCTATGATATTTTCTGTTACTAATCATTACAAAAAGCTTAAACGTATAAATTCACTGAGCATGATGACTGCAGCAGCTGGTCCTGATGGGAGATGGGCTCCCTCTATGTTGTTAGCATGCACCTACAATAGTCTTTTTAAAAAATACAACACAACACGCTGGTGTGGTCTGCCTCTCTCACAGTCAGACAACGAACAAGAGCAAGCTTTCGGTCCTCAACAAGACTGTTTTCTCTCTACTGCCATTGCAAAATTCCTTAGGGCAGCACTCCACATTTCAACTGCTGTGAGAAATTCCAGGTTTTCACCAATCTTGCTGGGAATCCAAAAATCAAGGCAGATGTGCAGGATGGAAAAATAGCTTTCTCAGACAGAAAGTCATCATTCAGCCACAAAAAAGAGGGCTTTTTCACAAATCTCTCCCTGCTTTTGAAACATCCTCCTCAGATGAAATTTGCCTTTGTACTTTTTGTAATCTTTGTGACTCTTGTCTAACATATTTTTATTTGTTCAGATATGGATACCCAACACACAACTTAGCTGTGGACTGCCTAAGAGGATGGAATCCTGTCTAAAGTAATAGCACCCTAGCTAACAGGCATCCTTAGGCAATATGATGCATTGATTGCCTGTTTGCTGGTAGGACCACGGGAAACTGGCTTTTCCTAAAGCAACAGAAAATGAGCCCAAATGCTTGTTTACAGAATGCAACAGGCCAGCAGAATTCTTAGAGGTGAGCTGTGCTGACCTGCCTTGTTCCAGAAATGGCTCATCACCAGTGTGCTAACTACATGTTGAATCAGTACCAGATCTTCCTAGTGCAACAGAATCAGCTCAGTGAGGGAGCATACAGAAGCTCCACATTCCCTGTCTGGCATTTTCAGCCCTGGAGAGTGGCTGCCAGTCAGTGAGGGTGACACTGATGTAGGTGGACCAAGGATCAGAGTAAGACAGCGTCCTCTGCTGTGTCTCCTCAGTGCAGGCTCCTCAGTGTCCTTCCTTGGGATCTTCCCCTCTTGGGCCAGAACACAAAGCATGGCTTGCTAAGCACAAAGATGCAGATTTACCTTCATAGCATGCACCACTGCTTCAGGTTTCTGGCTTAGGGGAACATAACCCACAGCAGGAGAAGCAGCAAGATCCGGAGTCATGCGGACAGGGCCCTGTGGAAACAACAATAAGGAATGCAAACACTTGTAAGAAGATGGATAAATAGAGAGAAAGGCAGGTCAGTATGTTGTCCCTTCTGGCTACTTCCATCCTGGTAGCGCCACCCCACTTTCTCCACCTGGTACTTACTTACTTACTTACTTACTTATTAAAACATTTCTATGCCGCCCCATTCGCCGAAGCCTCGGGGTGGCTCACAACATGAAGTAAAATACAAAAATAACAATATAAAAATAACAATATAAAATAAGTAACAATATAAAATAAGTCGCCCTGGCCAGATAAAATAAGCAAATACTGTTAACAATTAAAATGACGCTTAAATAAAAATAAACTTATTGGACTCCAACACTCAGTATCCTCCAGCCAGCACATCTGGAGGGCACAGACTGGGGAACTCTGCTCTATCCAATCCACGCCCCTCAGCTGTGGAATTACAACCTCCACTTTGCGGGTGGGTGGAGAGGGATTCTGTGTGCACGTGTCCATGCTGCACTGTTCCGTCAGCACTGGTGGATCAGTGACCCGGGCCTAATGAAATAGCTGAAGCGGGACTTTCTTTGGAAAAAGCTTCCTTACTACTTGCACAACCATTGGAGTTTTGGTTGTTGAAAGTCTATCTTGACAGTTTCTGCTACAAAGCCCACCTGGTGGACTTGGGTAAGGCATTCTTTCTCAATCTGATTTTCCCACAATATTGGAAGAATCCTGTGATGCAGCATGTTGGAAAGGTTAAGGTGTCAGAGTAGGGCCAGAGAGACCTACGCTGAGATCTATGCTTAGCCATTAAGAGCAGGTGACTTTGGGTCAGTCAACTGACAATTGTCATAGCCTAGCCTTCCTCTTAGGGCTGTTGCAGGGAATTAAAAAAATATATTGGGAGAAGACGGACATGTATCACTGGGCATGGAAATCTAACTTTTGTGGGGCCTTTTTATAACATTCTTGTCCTCCAGGACCTTTCCCGTTTGTCAGCCTTTTTTGCAGGCTTGTTTAGAGTAAGGAAAATCTGGTATTTAATTTTAAATTGTGCCAGGGGAGGAGAAAAATTCCACTGTGCTATAGTTGTATCACAGAGTTACCTTGTGCTTGGAGCAAAGAAATACAAACCCCTGGAAAAAGCCACCTGGAAAGGATGCATTTTTTCTCCACAACAAAAATGGAAGATGAAACCTCTTTACAGAAGCAGGTTAAACCCTTCATGAAAACAAAACCAGAGTCTGAACTTTTAAGGGGCTACAGCAATTGGTTTCAGGACCACAGACAGCTCCTTTAATGGCCAGCCTGAACCCTGGAGTGGATGTCCCACTTCCCTAACAACAGAGCCACCAGCTGTTGCTGACAAGCTGTGAATTGAATTGCAGATATAAGAATAGAGCAGAGCAGAGTCATACCCAACTGTTATTCACCACAAGAATTTCTAGAAGAGAGAACTCGTGTGGTGCAGTGGACTGGGACTCAGGAGATGTGGGTTCTAGTCCCTACTCAGCCATGAAGCTCAGTGAGTGACTCTGGGCCAGTCCCTGCCTAACCTACCTCCTTAGCCTAACCTACCTCCCAGGGTTCTTGTTGTAAGGGTTAAATAGAAAGGAGAACATTGTGAGCAGCTTTGGTGTTCTTGCAAGAGGAAGCAAGGTGGGAAATCAGTGCATAACAACAACAACAAATATTAATAATACTATTACAATAATATACTCCTCCTCCTCCTCCTCCTCCCTTGCTTAGTGGTTTCTAGCCCGTTCCCACTGAAGGAAAATATCTATTTACAAGCTGGAGATCACCAGAGCATTATACCAAGCATTACATGGGTCCAGTTCTGCTTTTTCCCATTTCATTTTTATGGTGCATTTCCAAAATAAAACCACAACCAAAACTAAAAAAAAGAAATAAATTAAAATAAACGGTTACAATGAAATTTGAGTGCACTATTACAAAGACCATCTATTCGAATAGATGATATGCCATCATATATTTACAAATAGCATAATATATTACTGTGATTAGGAATAAATATGCATAGACTTCAATAAAGACAGCTCAGGTATCCATGCTTCTGTCCCTTTGTAAATTATGCCTACAATCCACCTGTTCAAGAATCAAAAGCTTCATGAAAGTCCTCCACTCCTTGTGTGGTTGAAGGTTTTGCCCTTCCAGTGTTGTAATATTAGTCCAGGCCAGTATTGTTGCCACTGAGTGGTGGGGGCTGTCCAGGTTACAAGCAGGAGCTGTCCCTACTGCATAGAGTTGCCAGCGATCAAACCAGGGGCCTTCTGCCTTCTAAATACATATATAGAAGGTTATATTTTAAAGTGCTGATTTCTCAAGCCAAATAAATATAGACACGAGCAGACTGCTTTTCCCTCCAAAAGGAAAAGAAGGTGAAAGTATTTGAGATCACAGAGATGGCATCTTGCCTTGCTGAAGCAAATCAGCCTTGTTTTTGTTTTTAAGGCCTAAAACCCATCAGCTCCTCTGTGCATGGACAGAGTGTCTCCCCTTCTGAGTGTCAGCAGCTTCTTAAAACACCAAAACCTCTATGTGGCCTGTCTAGCAGTTCTCAGAGGGATTTGTTGTTCAAAAATATTCTTACAGAAATACGGGAAATATCATAATATAACATTTAAAATCTTTTTTCCTCTAGCAATTGGCCAAGAGTTTAAAATTCTGCCTAGACTATTACAATTCTGCACTGTTAGCAAACTTTATACATCCCCAACCCCCATGCCCAATTCTTCCATGTCATTTCCTAATTCAAACACTAGATATGCAGGAACTAAGTAAGCGCCAAATGCACACACATTTCCCAGTAGATGCTCAGCCTTTTCAACAGGAAATTCCACTTCTGAAGGGGTTAATTGGGAGCAAAGGGGAGCAAGAAGGAGAATGTGTAATCCTTTCCTGTCCACTTTTCTCAACCCTCAATTGCTTTTGCCCTCCAAAAGCTTCCCTGATATTTTCTGATCCTCAAAGTCCCCTGAAATGGCTTTTCCCATTTAAAAAGGACCAGATGACCAATACACGTTTTTATGTAGCTTAGCCTATGGTGAAAGGAAACATTTCTCTAGGCATACTAAGAGAGTTTTTCAACCCTAGAAACATTTTAACGCAGAGAGCTGCTTAGAGTGCTGTAACTTTACTAGGAAACTACATCTCACTGACACGAGATGGGGAAGCGAGGAGCAGATCAGCAACATGGCAAGAGTCTTGAAAGACGATCAAGCAACCTTCAGGTAAATTTATGAACCCCAAAGTTCAGCAGCTCAGCAGAGCTCATTTCCAAAATGTTCAATTTCGCCCCTTGCCATTTGACAAGCAACTGAAAAGACAAAAATACTGCTTTTGTACCAAGGAACCTGAGTAGCCAACCAGCCCAATGTGCACTTGGGAGATTGGCAATCCTTTGCAAGGTATCTCCTAAACATGGCAAGCTACAATGCCCTTATTCAGTAAGACACCCCTTTCTGCCTCTGTGACTTGTATGTTTGCATTGTACCATTCAGCAAAACCAACAATGGATTCATTGAAAAACTCAATATTTTGCCTTCACATTCTTTGGCAAAACAAAGCAAGATTATCCTGTTGGGCTCTGAAGGTAAATCCTGATGACAGAGTAGTATGTATCATTGCAGATAATTAAGGTGCTAGTTATACAGTGCACAGAGCTCTGTAGTCTTTTTTTAATATCAAAACAATAATAACCCTTATCTTAGAATTTCAAAATTGCAGAGTTGTCACTGTGAATTCACTGTGCCCTGAATTTATCCCTCATGCTTCTTATTCAAATTTACTTTCCTACTCAGCAACATGTAGATCAGAGAATGGCTCATTTCAGGTGCAATGGGAAACTATGGTTTCCCACTACATAAACAAGTTGCAGCAAGTTTTTGGCACCTTCTTCCTCTTTTCCAGGCATTACAAGATCTACTTTCAAATAAACCTAGTACATTTGAAATCAGGAAACTATGATTTGTTTAAACTATGTTTATCAGAGCTAAGCCAGGATCAAACCATAGTTTTGAACCCTAGGTTATTCTAAAACCATGATTTAAACAAACTAAAGTTCCTTGAGGTCAAATATGAGGAGGAGCTGTGGTTGTTAAACCGAGACTCTTCTGTTCTGTTCCAGAAAATACAAGGAGGAAATAAGCATGCCCAGGTTGATGAGCACCTGAAAAAAATTTCTTGTACAATGTGAATGGGCAACAGAGACTTGACTAAAAAATTATCCATGCCACTGTCAAGCAATGTTGTAAAAGGAGCATCAGAGTGCAGAAGGATCTGAGCCATAATTTAGAACCTGTCATGCAGCCTCAAGATGGAAAGAAAATACGGTGAATCAAGAACACTGAACCAAAAGAGCAGGTTGCAATACAAAACTTAATAATCCCTGGCCTAAAGCATTTTCAGAACTGTGAGACTTAGAGAAGCATTACACAACAAGAAGAGGACATGCCTATTTTAGGTGCACTTTAAACAAATTAACCAAACTGAAATAGGAAGAGGTACTTGCTTTCAGATTCAGGCCATACTTAGGAATTAGACCAAAGGTGTCATGCCTGAAATTAAGTTTGTTTATTTCACAAATTAGGCCTAATTTATATGAGCTCTACTTACAAAGGTATAAGGGAGCCTTATGGCTAATGGGGCAGGATAAAAATCAAATCAATAAATAAAGGCACTTTGTGATACCTTGGAGTAATACAGTATGGCCAAACACAGAATATATATACTTCTTGCAAGCACTCCTATGCCTAGTGCTGAAATATGGGATAATATTCTATCTGTTTCAACACTAACCATGATCAATATTAATCAAGGTAATCTTTTCAACTAATGTTTAGAAGCTGATTTGTAAGTCATAAAGTTAATTCTGCTTATCGGTAGCCCTTGTGAGTGCTGGTTAACAGATTGTTAGCGTTATGTTTGGCCAAGAGAGATGGATAAAGGCTCTGAAATTACTGAAACATTTCTCTTCCTCCATGGCAATTATAGG